GTTGAGTTATACTCTAGGGAAGGATAAAGCCTGAGCCCAATAGTTTTGCATTGACATGAGGATAGAATTAATCAATTGCAGCCTTCCTGCATAACTGAGCTTGCGAGTACTCCAGCATCTAACTTTGGCAGTCATCTTCTGAACCAAAGTGTCGCATTCAAGCTGGCTCCATTTCTTGGGTGAAATGAGAACACCCAAATATTTCATTGGAAATGTTCCAACTCTAAATCCAGTTATCTCACATATTTTCTTCCTCAAGCCCTCTGAAACTCCTCTGAAATATATGTCTGACTTCAAAGGGTTTGCCACCAGGCCTGTAGTTGCTGAGAACTTATGAAGGACTTCCACCACTTTCTTAACAGTATACTTATCTGCTTTACAGAAGACCTTAAGGTCATCTGCAAAGCAGATGTTTGTTAACTTCAGGCTCTTGTATTATGGATGAAACTTGAAGGATTTGTCTTAGGCTGTTTCATTGAGTAATCTGGTTAAATATTCCATGATTAGAACAAAAATCAATGGTGACATGGGGTCCCCCTACCTCAATCCCCTCTGCCCCTTGAAATAACCATAACTTGTACCGTTCAAATTCACCGAAAAAAAAGTGGAGGTTATACATTCAATCACCTTTGTCGAAAAACTCTTAGGAAAGCCATATCCATCCATTATCTCTTCTATGAACTGCCATTCTACACAATCGTAAGCTTTCCGTAAGTCTATTTTCATAAGGCACCTTCCACTCACATTTTTCCTCCCGTAAACCCTAATCAGTTCCTCCGTTATCAGCACATTGGGTAGGTACAAACGTTTACTCACAAATGCACTTTGGTTTGCTTCCACCAGATCTGGAAGTACAAGCTTCAACCGTTCGCATAGGAGCACATGCAATCGGTCGATATTCTGCCGCATTCTGAGGTTGATCTATTTTCGGGATTAAAGCCAGCATTGTAGCATTAAACTGCTTGAGGAGCTTTCCATTTGCAAAAAATTCCATAATAGCTTCAATGACGTCTGATTTTACTATTTTCCAAGCACCTTTGTAAAATCCACTTCCAAAACCATCCGTGCCAGGGCTTTTATCACTATGAATGTCCTATATTGCCTTTTTAATTTCACCTGGTGTTACTATTTTCAGAAGATCCATCTGTTGTTGCCAGCTTAGTTGGTACCCTTATTGAAGATTCCTGGATCAGAGGACTGTCTGCTGCTACTCTGTCCCTGCTGTTGTTGAAAGTACTCCACAAAATGCTCCTTTACTTTTTCCCAGTCTACTATCAGTTTTCCATGTTCACCAGCTATTGAAGTGATTCTGTTCCTCATGGTTCTGATTTTCACTCTTGCATGAAAATGCAATGTTGTCATCTCCCAGCTTGATCAATTTCTCCTTTGCCTTCTGTACCAAAAAACTTTCAGCTGCTAAACTGGTTTTCATATAGGTCTGGTGCAACTGCCTTTCTTCCTGTTGCATCCTTTCATCATTAGGATTAGTATTTAGTCTCTTCTGTAATCTTTCCAGCTGCTCCCTTGGATCTTGTGCTTGGTTCTGGATGTCTGAGAAGAGACTTCTATTCAACTTCTTAAGTCCAAGTTTCAGATTCTTTAACTTTCAGGCCAGTTGATACATCTTCGTGCCTCTGTATTCTTTCTTCCATACTTCTTCAACTACTTCTTCAAATTCCTTGGTTTGGCACCACCTGTTGAAAAATTTGAATGGAGCAATCTCCCTGTTGATCATTACATCAATCTGCACAATTATCGGAATATGGTCTGATATCCCAGGAGTAAGAATCGTACCCATAGAGTTTGGAAATTTAAGCATCCAATCACCATTTACCATAACTATGTCTATCTTAGAGCAAATTCTGGCATTCCCAAGACGATTGTTGCTCCATGTGTATCTCTGTCCTTATTGCTTCAAATCCTGCATTTTGCATTCCTCGACACATCTCCGCAGTCCCTGTACTTCATTCAGAGTCACACTGGAACCTCCTAATCTTTCATCTCTCCTAAGAACATTATTGAAATCCCCTATAGTTATCCAAGGACACTGGATGTATCCCGAGATATCAATAAGGTCTTCCCATAATTACTCTCTTTCACTAAGAGAATTGGAAGCATAAATCACAGTACAATAACAATTATTGCTACTACCCACTTCTTTTAACCAACAGTGAATATATTGTACTTCTATTTTGATAATAGTAATTTTTATCAAACTAGACTGGCATAATAAGCATATTCTACCCTTTTCATTTTCCTGATCATTCATAACATAATCATACCCATTCCTAAACTTTTTAATCATCTCCTCTACCTTTCCTCTATCCATTTTTATCTCTACTATATTTATCATACTAACTTGATGCAACTTACTAATTCTGCATTCTTCTTTTTGTTTTAATGGGGTGTTCAAGCCCCTTATATTCCAGTGGAGGAGTTTATATATTGATACCTGGATCATGAGTGGATCCTCTGCTAGTTCCTTCCTCTCTGCTCCCTCCATGTTCTTCATTTGACTGTTGAGCTTCACCTGATATAGCTTGGATAATAAAAACTACAAATTTTAATCCAAAACTATTAATCTATAGCACGTCTATATACGCGAGTAAGTTTGATCAATATCACTTATGTAAAAGCAACTGTTTTTCCCAATTAAAATGACCTTTTGCAAATATATTCCTACCCTACTTTTATTATTATCTCTTTTTGTTTTTATACGGTTTGCTAGGGGATTTATGTTGTGGGATTCTGCATATCGGAAATGGAGGCACAAAATACCGAGCTCTAAAACTATCCAATGTTCCAGTAATCTTTAATAATGTATTTTGTATACTTATGATCAGTGTTTCGATATTATATTCTTTTTGTGTAGTTATAAAATTTTTCCATTTCCTATAACATGCAATATATTTATTTATTATGTTGGCAATTTTATTTACTTTTAGTTGTATAACTCTTATACTTATTGTATTACTATTACATTTTCTCTTTACAATCCATAAAATACTACCATCTTATAGTTTTTTTTTTACAATGACGACATAATCGACATAATTTACTTTTGTTACTCATATAATATTATTATTATGAATCGATTACTTTATTTGTATTTATCACATTTAAAAATTTGAAATGTATTATAAATATATATGAATAAACCCCGCACATCATGCGGGTTTAACACCTAGTATATATAGATATGAGAATAAAATTTAAAAATTTGAATAAATTATTAAAAAACAAATTTGTACAATAATTTTTATAAAACGAATTTGTAATATCATAACAGTGTTTCTACTTAAATTTTTATTGAAAAAAAGTGTCACTTTCTAGCTAGTCTTGTTTTGCTTAAAAAATTTTGTAAAAAAAGACAAAGGGAGAAAGTGATTTGATAACTTAAATGGTGATAGAGACTGTACATAAAGAAAACTAGTGCTTGTTTGGACGTCATCTTACATTTCATTTTGTCACTTAAAAGTGGAAAGTGTTTTAAGTTGAAAACTAAATGGGAAATGAAAATGTTATTTAGATGGTATTTTCAGCAAAAAATTGTTTGGATGTTGGTTTTCAAAAAAATATTTTGAACTACATTTTGAAAATATCAAGTACGAGTCATTACTAAACAATTAAATACTGTCAATTATAGTCACTGCAAAAAAGAACTTTTTCAAAAATAATCACTCAATAACGGAATCCTACCAAATTTGTCACTGAACTATTTATAGTTTTAAAATGGTCATTACACTAACAAAAAGTGTTTCAAGTTGGAATTTAAAATATAAATCAGAAAGTTGTTTGGATGATGTTTTCTTTTCCATTGGGTTTTGTGTTTAAGAGGTAAAATGAGTTAAAATGTAAAATGAGTGGACGATCCAAACAAGACCATGTCTCTGACAAAAATGTTGACATGCCTAATTTTGTGCATCATTTTGATATTTTTTCATAATTAATAAATTTTGAAATTAAAAAGTAAAATAGAGTAATCACGTAGAATTATTATTACCTTATAAATATCTAAATACTAAATAATTCCTTTACCAGTTATTTGGTACAAAACACAGTAATAGTGGGAAATGGAATCCAATAAGCATTACTTTCATTCCCTTTACCGCAAAAAAAAAAGAAGAAAGAAAATCTTATAAAAGGATTCATCGATTAATGGGTTAGGTTGTTAGTTAAATTTTAAAAATTTAAATATCAAAATAATAATATATTCAAAGATGATACGGCGACTTAGGAAGTGACCTAAAATTATTAGTATAAGAGATTTTAGTCCAAATAAATTTGTATTATGATTCAAATAATTTAACCGCACTACCACCTTGATTTTTCATCTTTTATTTTTTTTCTTCGTACCATAGGTATCCACCTATGATTTAAAAGTGAATAAGTCCTTGCAAACCACACAATCTCAAACTTTTTTTATTTATTTTTTTTACAACTTAGTATACATGAAAAATATCTACTCATATTACAATGATCCAAACAAATCATGCATTAGCAAAGTTCGTTCTTCGAACAAGAAGATAACCAATGCAGGCCATGGCTTATTTCATGTACACAGAGCGAAAATTGCAATCATGAATCTGGTTATCGAGAATAGATAGAAGCTAATTAATGACTTGGCACGTGTAGAATACTTTTTTCCGTCTTACAATTATTGTTCAATTTGGATTTTTTAGTTTTATTTAATATAAATTGAATTAAAAGTGAAAATCTATTTTTAATATAAATTGAATTAAAAATAAAAATACAAATTAGACAATAATTTTAAGATAAATAAAATACATAATTTATTGAGTTGAATATAACAGGAATGAATCGGTGAGTATCCCGTTCCATCATAAAATTTCACTACTTGTGTAATGATTACTAAAAGGAATAAAGAACCTATCCATGTTTAGTCATTAGCCTTTGGATTTAACATCTCTTCTCTCTATTTCAAATTTTTCGTAATATATTTTAATATTTCGCTGATATAAATAAGAAATAATTTTGGGACAGAAAACAAATACAGCAAAAAATAAATTAACGTGGATTTTTCATCATAGTTAATGACATACAAATCTGATAGATTATGATCAGTTGAAGATCTGTCTAATAATTTGAGATGCTTTTAATTCGTAAAGAAAATCTAAAAGCTAACAGCATCACTTGGATCAACAACCTCACCAAATGCCTGCTAACTATCTACAAGTACAAACCACATGACTCAAAAGTCTCAAATTCCTAACAGCACTAAACCTCTAAACCAATTACTCAGTAGAAGAAATTAGACCCTAAATATATTTAGAAGTCAAAATTGTGTACAGAATCTAATGTAATCTGTATGGATTGCACCATAATGCAAATAATGATGCGAATGTCCTTTGTGCTCAGTGGAACAGCTAGCCAGGACCATGGACTTTCTTTCAAGTCCTTGCTGCCGATAAATTTCGCTTGCCCCCGATGATTGTGCCAACATTCTCGCCGCAGATGGCTTTTGAGATGTTTCCTGGCTTGTTCAGGTTGAACACAACAACTGCCCAAAGAAAAGGGAGACTTTAGAAACAGACATAAGTTTGGAGAGTATTGGAGGTAGTGATGATTAGCGATCCCAATTTATAATTACATTCCAAAGAAAATATGAACGGCTTATGCGGAATTGAAGATGTCATACCAGGGATGTTGTTTTCTTGGCACAGGGTAATGGCAGTCATGTCCATAACCAAAAGTTCCTTCGAAGTAACATCATGATAAGTTAATGTATCTAGTAGACGCGCATTTGGGTTTCGCCTTGGGTCTTCATCAAACACTCCATCAACATTTGTAGCTTTCAGCACCACCTCAGCATTAACTGTTGCAGTATTCAAAGTCAACTTATTGAAGAACTATTAATGGATTTTCTCCCTGACAAGGCTACATTGTGGAGAATTCTGCAAACTTCGATAGCAAAGTATGAAAAGGGAAGAAATTCATGGGAAAATTCTATATTTGCTTCTGAATGTTCAGGCCTAAACTATTAGAAGTCTCACATGCAAGATATAAAGGAACCACTGACTCCTTTTACAGAGACGATCTCGTGTTTCTAGGACACATTGAATCATGTCAGATAGTTAAAAAACTCGAATTGTAAGCTTGACGGTGAAGGAGTCACACTTACTCTCAGCACACCTTAATGCTGCAGCAGTGTCGGTGGTGAAGAAAGGATTTCCAGTCCCAGCTGCAAAGATTACTACTCTCCCTTTCTCCAGATGCCGGACAGCCCGTCTACGAATGTATGGTTCAGCAACTTCTGACATACGAAATGCAGTCTGGACCCTCGTAGGGATTCCGATGCTTTCCATGGTTGCTTGCAGAAATATGGCATTCATAACAGTGGCCAGCATCCTGAACACGTGATCTAAGTATTATTGCCGTAACCTTCGATGGCTAGACCATTGAATCTTTGAAAATTATAATCCATTGAAGATCACATTAGAATCACGCAAAGTTAACTGCTACCCACGAACCGATCATTACATCAAACAATCTTAATAAGCCAGCACATCAAGCAAAGAGAGTTCTAGCAGTGCAAAATAGACACATAAACAAAATTCTGCCTAAATGTGCTCCAATATGTACTTATATCATAATAAGCGCCACCACTAAGAAGGTAAAGCCATAAAGAAACAAATGAAAAGTCTTCTAGTAGACATTCTCACAAACACACTGAAAAACCCTCAACTTTAATATTTTCACATACATACAAGTTCAAAGACATGTAAGATGATAAACCAAGAGAAGCCCTCAGTTTCAAGAATTCTTTATGCCATCAAACCCTCCAGCCATTCACGTGTTTCATTTGGCAAACATTAATCCACAATTTGATTCAAGCAGTTGAAAGAAAAATCCAAGTATATGCATGAAAACGATGGCATGAAAGATTCTCCAAATCATAAGAAAGACACCATTTCAAGAGAAAAGCTAGCTCTAAACCCAGAGAAAGATGATACCCAATGTAATCAGCTGAGGAACGGTCAAGGCCACTACTTCCTGCCCATGATGATCCCCGAAAGATATTTCCTCCACCAACTACTATAGCAACCTGACAAGTTGCCACACATTAGTAGAAAAAGTATTCATCTCCTTATGTTACGTAGTTTTACTTTTTGTTGTAAGTTTATTTGCTCATTTTCACCTTCTCTTTTGCTCTCCAAAGTTATTGTATTTTGCCCATTCTTTCTTGTATATTAATTTCTAATCAACAAAAGGGTTGATGATCCCATTAGCCGTACAATGGCAGTTATACTTAAAAACAAAGGGGAAAAATAAACTAAGCAATATTGAAGTCTCCCATAAAGAGGTTAAGAAGATTACAACATCTAAACATTATGAAGAACCAAGATTTGACATTACACAACATACCTCATAAAATCAACGGATCATTCAAACCATCAAACATTATTAAAGTTTAATTCATTACCAACTTGTTTACATGTTTAAGGTCCACGAGAAGTAGAACCTCCTAGTTGGCATTTCATAAAAAAAACCAAAAGCAATAGAAGGTGGACAGACGCTAAGCTTTTAAAACTTTAAGTATGATCAAACTTTTTTCAAGAAAGGAATGATATTGAGAAGGAAAAGAAAATAAATACAAGGGACTGAACCACTGTTCACGAACTAAGACATATATTTGATACTCTGGTGAACAGAAAAATGCCCACATTCTTTCTTTGGCTTATTCGCTCTTGGGATGGGTATTCCCTCTTCTTATTCAAAGACTACATTAAATAACCTTAAAATGTTCTAATGACTGATTGCATACTATTTGCCTAATTGTATACTTAGAAGTTTTGCAATTAAGAAATAGTGCATATTCAAACAAAAAGACCTGTTAAGATGAGTTGCACACAAATAACCCATTTATCTCCAATATCTTACATGGAAAATTAAGAAATAATGCATATTCAAACAAAAAGACCTGTTAAGATGAGTTGCACACTAATGACCCATTTATCTCCAATATCTTACATGGAAATTGAAGAAGATTGAAACGCATAGGTTGAATGTATACCTCAATACCAAGTCGAGTAACTTCTGCAACCTCCCTTGCAATGGCCATTGTAACCTACACAATACGAGCAGGATCATACTAGTGAAAGAATATATGGAGGTAAGGGCTACATCATTAGAATTCCAACCTTTGGGTCAATATTTTGTGCTTGGTCTCCAGCAAGTGCTTCCCCACTTACTTTTAGCAAGACCCTCCGCCATTTATAAGATGATTCTGGAGAAAAGTTATCCTTCATTTTCATGCTAAACCGACCCATGGCAGATGCCTGAGGTTGAGCATTATAACTACCGAAAAGGCAATAGGGAAAAAAAAGTAAAAAACTGAAGGAATACTTCGTTAAGATTGAGTTAATTCTAAACATTGAAGGAATGCAACATACTTTGTTAAGATTGAGTTAGTTTTAAACACTGCAGGACGAACTACAAACTGTTTTTCTTTTCTTTCTTTTTTTTTATGGATGAGAGGTCTACCCAATCTAATAAGTCCAAACACAAGCAGGACACATCAAGAATCAAAAAGATTAAACCAGAATGAAAAGGTAAAAGCAACTGCAAAAATTTTCCTTAATTGGTTTAAGAAGCTAAGTTACAAACCAGAACATTGTTCGCTTCTGGAAACGCAGCGCAAGGTATCCATGCATTTGGAATTTTCAAATGCATATTTGCAGGGATGGAAAATGTTATTTGGACTTAACGGTTCACAATTAAAAACACATTTGATTATAAATCTTTTGTACTTCAAAGCCAGTGGCAAGGGTATTTCCACGATCGAAGTACCTCAACAGAATAAAAATTGTAGATGATTTGACTTTTCTCATCACTCTGAAGCAGTACACCACTAAATTACATAACTTTTCAGCCATGACATTTAGATTTCACTCAAGCAAAATGTTTCTTCAAATGGACATTGCAGTTTACTCAAACAGACGGATTACACCTTATCCATCATCTACCCAATACATTTAATACACGAAAATAGGAAGCTGGTAACGTCAATGTGCTCTCCAAGCAGCCAAGATAACAGTAGCAGTATTAGACACCCTTTCCTAGAAGCCTGCTCTATCTATTCGACTCGATTATAATGTTCCTAATTATGTCATTTAACTACTATTAGAACTTCTCAAAAACAGGTAAGAAGAACAAGGAATTGGCATTTTTTCAACAGCAAAATTTGGGCGGATAAGATGCAGTTAATAGAAACGAAATGCACATGCCATGGAATAATTCTGCGACGGAAAGTTATTTTTTTTTCTCATTTTCCGTTCAAATGATTCAACAGAAATGACGTTATTCCATTTTCCAAAGCAAAAACGATAAATTAATAGGAAAATTCAACATAGTAACCAGATAGACTTACAGGGGCGAAACATGGTTTATGCCCGGAGGAAGCTCGACCGACTCTCCTCCACCGGTCGCCAGAATTTTCATCAACGGCAAATTCCGGCGGACTGGAGTCTCTCTGGGAGCCCCTCCGAAGAAGGTCGGTGGAGAAACAAGAGCTTGAAGTGAGGCATACATATTGAGAAAGAAGATATTTCCACCTGAGCAAAATTTCACACGAAGAAGATGACTGAACTGGCGTTTTTAAAGCATACTGGGAAATAGGAAATTAGTTACCGAAATTGCTTGGGCTAAAGAAAAACATTTGAAGTTGGGCCCAAATTGTTGATGATCCTCTCTATACAGGCCCAAACTATTACTCAAATTTTCCCCCCTTTTTTAATTTTGTTTTTTAGGAAAAACAATTCCGAAAATTAAGACTTCCATATACTTATAACATACTCCCTCTGTTCTAAAATTATTGTCCAGTTTTAGATTTTACTTTTTGTACAATTTGAACTAAAAATAAAAATACAAACTGGACAATAATTATGGGACGGAAAGAGTACTATGTATACTATGTAAAGACAATTTACAAGAAAATTATCCTATGTAGTATTAAGGGACACTAAATTCTCCTATGTATTGTGTTCTCTTTTATATTTTCTTTTCTTTGCACATGTACAAACTTAGAATGGGGCATGCATTTCATATTCTTAGTTCATTTTTAGTACACTAACATATTACTATCACAAAATCAGTACTTTGGTAACAAACTGTTTGAATCAATGTGGAAGAAATTAAATAATATGGATTGTGGAATTTGACAAAAATGTGTATAAATTAAGAGCCTTCTACCATTTCTTCTTTTCTTATTTCTCCCCCAATTTCCAGAGAAAGAAGACGCAATAATGCAACTTTCTTTGTCACTGTGTGGCTGTGTGTTTTTCTATTTCTGTTCTTGAGGGTAATAGGGTTTTTTGCACTTTTGCTGGGGTATTTAATTTAATTTGTTTAGTGTTAAACATCTTCGTTACTGTTATATCACCAGCTTTCCCGGCTAACTTCTCTAAGAAACGCTGCCAAAAAAAATCATAACCAAAGACTAGTGGGGTTTTGATATTAATTAATTTAGAAAAGAGAAACCCAAAAAGCCAAAGTAAAACCGTAAATAATAGATAATATCTGACGAGGCAATATTTGATTTCTCTACTTTTTTTTTTTCATGGCCCTCTCATGGTGATGGCTTTCTTGGTTCAGGTGGTCATGTCATTTTCGTTAAAACCCTCTTTTTCCAGTGTCAGAAAAAAAAAAAAAAAAAACACACACACACACACACAAACAATATATAGTCAGAAGCACCGAGAGAAAAAGAATTTGTCATATAACTTTCCTTGATTTTTTCACATTCTGAAACCAACACTTTTACAACGAATTTCTCATTGCCTCCTTAATTACTGCGTATGAATCAAACCTGTATGAAATTAAATGTGCAAACGACCGGAATCGCTAACTTTGATGCATAGTTTCTCTTACCTCCTTGAAATTAAATGCCGCGGTGTTTGAATTGGTAGGTATGTCCTTGGTGGGCACATGCAAATTGGTGATGGTTAATTTCGGAGTTTTGATTCAAAGACTCCCTCATCAATGATTTGTAGATGGAAATTTTAAAGGTAAATTTAATATATAGAGAATGAATTATAAACGTCCATACTTACACCTTATCTTAAAAGATTTATGTATTTAAGAGTTAAGAAGAATAGTTACGATTCAGACACATCATTTTCTGTAAATTTCCTTATCAAATTTTTCATGTATGTATCACTACTCAGGTCAAAATATTTAATAAATCATTACACGAAAGATAGATGTTGCGGGTCAATAATACTTTATGATGAACCATTATACTTATACGATTTTATAAAATGTGTTTGTATTTTATGTGCGATTATTAGGAGGATGTGATTTCTAGCTAGCTACTTTGAGAAATGATCTCATCTTCAAAACGAACTGACGCAGACTCGTCAAAGATAATTCAACAGATTGTTTTTCATTTTAAAATTATATATGCTTCCTTTCAAACGGTTCCTAATACTTTCAAAGTGCTTGTCATTTGATGTAATAGAATGCATTTGTATTCGAAGGTAGTGCGTAGGAAACGCTAAAAAGTTAGGCATTTTGACATTTTGTCAGGACATATATAAGTTTTGTAGACAATTTTTTTATATATGTTATTCAATCAACCTTCTTTTTCAAAGAATTTTTTTTTTAATGATTTTATTGATAAGACACGATCGATAATATACACAATCGATAAATAGTTTTAACAAAAAGAATTTATTTTGAAACGATAAACGTAATATATACTGACCATCAATTTAACCATCAATTTATTTTGAGGAATATGCTTTTTTTCCCCCTTCTGGGCATCTGACGGTACTTGAATAATTAAGAAATGTTTCTTCAAAAAACATTTTATGAAATAACTTCTCCCTAAATAAAGATATTGAAGTTTTTTTTTTTCTCAGTCAGAGTAATGCTTAAAAATGTTGAGCACTAAAAAAGAAATGCTAAAAACTCATCAAATAGTATCAATTAACAAATAAGCTTTAAACTCATTTATATATACTTTGTACCACACGTTAAGAATATCTCGTGATTAAGACGCTAACTTTTGTATTTCCAAAAACTTTTAAACATATCAAACCTCATAAAATTGAATAATTTTAAGCAGATATCAACTGTTACCAAAAGATAGAAAAGAGTCATTATTGTATCTTCTTTGGGTAAAACTTATAATTACCTTCTCCATTATGATTTTAATTTTTATAACTGAAAATTATTTCCATAGCTAAAAATTTAAGGTACGTATGAGGGAAAGAAAACTGAATTAACCGCATTTTTTTCTTGGTGTAAATTGTTACATATTGTTAAAAAGAGTTTTATTATTTATTACGAAAAAAAATATTTGTTACCTTTTACAATCTATACGATGGAACCCAAAAATAATAAGACTCCTAACTTGTATCTTACCTACAAAAAATTTGTGTTTCTTTCGCACAACTGATTTGACTGGCGCTTTTGGCTTGCTTATTTTTTTGCAGCCCAAGAGAAGAGAAAAATTATTCCATACACAAGTGTATCTCCTTTTTTAGTGCAGCAATACACCTATTATACTGGAAAATATCATGATCCCTCTAATTTTGTGGTAAATTTTCTAATAAAATTACAATTTTGCCATATTTATGTGTCTGGCTGCACAATTCTACGTGATACAGCAACTGGAAGATTTTCTCCAGAGAAGAAGGATAGTGGAGGGATGTATTGAGGTAGTTTCACAATCTGCTTTAAATAAATTTCGTTATTACATATCTTATTCTTCTTTTTAAATTAATCGAGATTCGAGACAATGACTGAATTTATAGCTCCAAGTTCATATTAATTTTTTTTTTCCCTTTCCTAAAGTATATAGCTATACGATTCTTGTTAATATTGTGTACTTCCACTATTTCACTCTCTATTTCTGTTCTTCACGTTCATATCTGTATTTCCCACAAATTCCAAATTAATTCATATTTTTTTATAAAAAAATTTAATTCATTTGCTGACAAGAACACAAGGAATAAGGAATTGAAGTAATTTGAAATTGGGCTAAAGGAAAATGAAAATGCAAACATGTTTCTAACTGTATGGACCTAAGTTTCATATATAGGCTCAAAGTCTCAGGGCCCAAACTATTAATTCGGCTTCTTAGCCAAGTTTAACAAAATTTCACTTATTTCTGATAATTTATATCTACGGATCGGTTTGTTATGATACTTACAAACTATTAATTTTTCCATCCTAAAGTAATTATTTAGTTCAAATTAAAATTTTAAGTTTTAATATCTTTTTATTAAAAACAAAATTCTACACGAAACAATCATTTTCATTAAGTTAGAGAGAATGGATCAAAAATATTTATGACTTCATCATGTCTAGAAGATTAATCAAGATAACAATTTTGAACAAAATATATATATATATATATATATATATATATATAAAGAAGTGTCGCAATGTGAATCTAGATAAAAGTACTCCATTTGTCCGAACAGAATTAGTCCACATTAATTGTAATTTGTAATTTTTATTAAAAATAGTATAAATTACAAATTGTAATGTGAGTTTTTTTTTCTTTTTTTTTTGAGGGAAGAAGTACAGTTTAACGTCAAAATCAACGAGTCTTGAGACTCTTGCCATCGGAATATGAGTTTATATCTATCACATTTGTAACTATTCCTACAATTTAGACAATACCGATACCATCTATGTAGTAACATTACATAGGTAAATTGTGACAATATATGTCCAGAAAGTAATTTTGAAATGTCTTGCACAAGAAACTTACTGTTCTTAAACAAGTGGCTCAATACATTTGAAAAATACCCGTAATTAAACTCCTACCCTATTTCAAGTGAGATTCAAACCTAAACCTTAAACGTTACCACCAGGTTAGAACCAATTTCTCATGAGGTTGATACTCTCTAATCAATTTGGAGATGAGTTAATTAATTCTCTACTAATCATATGCTTACTTTTGGTTCAATGCTCCTTGACAATTTTATTAGTTGCTATTCCCTATCATTGAAAAACTATTACGGAATCATACATATATGCATATATAGTTTTTTTTTTTTTTTTTTTTTTTGACTCACATCATGTATCTATTTGCATTATTTCTAAAACTTGGACAAGACTGATCGAAGAAGAACAACTCTATCACGTTATTCCAAATGAAGAACCTAGTACGACTTTTTGGGACATATGATGGCTTTTTTTTGGGCAATAGAAGCGACAATTACGTATGTGTTTTTAATATTTCCTGAAATGTTTTGCACCATTTTTAATTTCTTCCATAACTGATCAGGTCATTTTCATGGAAGTTCAACCGAGCGGAGGACTAGCTACTTCATCCATTCATATATAGTAATATGTTCTGTTCAGATCTCTTTTACATATGGTGAGCTGCAACAAGATCCCTTGACATTGAAGAGGGCTATATATAGCTGCATAGAATTGCCAACGGTTTAAATCACATTAATTCCATTGATTTTGAACGTATTTTTAATGGAGCAGTGATACGTACAGGAAAATAATTATAAGCAAATTTTATAATAAATAATGTGGCTTAACTCTAAATTATCCTCTACTCTTAAATGTATAAATCCTAAATGAAAATATAAAAATAAAGGATATGATTTACTCCACATTATTCATTCTCACTTTTAATATTTCTCAACATATATCATTATTCATTTCTAATACGAGCCAAATTCTAAAAGGAAATAAAAAATTACAATTTTTTATACTTTATAATCAGAATGTGGTATCTATTGTGCATGGTGGGAATTGAGGAATTAAGGGTTCATGGACCATGGTGGTTTAATTCCGGGATTCTGGATTTACTTTGTAGGGATTTAATAGTGGAGTTGAATTATGTATTTCGTGGCTCCAACTAAGTTTGATGGATTGTTAGGCAGCCTTAGTTGCTACAGGCTCGAGGAATTCATATATGAAGACTCTGATTCTAGGTACGTTACATTACTACAAATATAGACCGGTATCTTTTACTAACGCAATATATATTTTTTTTTGCCTGTCACGGTTTTTGGAGTTTTGCCCTGACTAATCTGTTGGTCAACTCGGGTCGCACACCTGGTTGTGGTGGATGAATCTCCCAACAAGAGTTTTTTGCATCCATAAAGTTTCGAACCCGAGACTTTACTTAAGCGACATCAAGCTACTTACCCCACTTGTGACTAACACAATATATTTATTTACACTTCAAAGTTTGCGTTTTTTTTTAATCGAACATAGCAAAAGAAATTAGAGACTAAGATGTTGTCTAATAAAACTTTTTCTTTGGTTAAAAAATACCCGAAACTTTAAAATACTCCAATAGTATCGTATTATAACCACGGCTCAATATTTACAAAACACTGTAATACTAGTTTCATGACCGTAAGTCTTGCCAATATTGTCAAATAATCTACTGGAAAGTTTGACTTACGAAGATTATGGCTCAGTTCAATGAGTCAGTTCCTAGCAACTCCCGAAAAATTTGAACAAGGCCACCATTAACCTATAAAACCTTCTCATCATTCTCTTTAACCATACACACAACAATTGAAAATATCAACTTCAACGATAAATTTGCAAAACCTCTTCTCCCAAGCCTGATGTAAACTAGTCGGAGTTTCAAAACCTTATACACTGAACAAAGTTCCTAAAGAACCTAATTTTATACATTGCACTCTATTTTATTGGACGGGTGAGCTAGCGTTAGTTTTTATTTCTATAAATTTAAAAGCGATATTTTATCTCTATTATGTTATCAAAAAAAATAAAAATAAAAAATTCAAACAAGTTTTTCTTAGTTTTTTTTCCTGGGATTTTTCTTGTTTATTTTTATTTAAATAAAAAATTATTTTTTTAAACTTATTTTGTGATTCTATTTGATTATTTTTTTAGAAGAAAGATAAAATACAATTACTCTTTTCATGTGATTGTAGATAGTATTAAATGCTAGTAGCAGTAGCAGTAGCAACAGAAACCCTAGGAACAAATTTTCCTCCAAGAACAAAAACGGATGACCAATAATGAATTACAAGCTTAGTATGTCTTAGCAATTATTAGGACAATATATCTTTTTATTTGAGTAAGTATAAGCACTTTTTTGCTTCTTTTTTTTTTTTTTTAAAAAAAGAAATCGATAAACTACTCATAGAGATCCATATTTTACTCTAATTTCACCTACTAATTGGAAATTATTATTTTTATATTCATAAATTATTCAAAAGAATGTTCGTTACCAACAGAAAGTTACTCTAATTTTCACTACCAGTAGTGGAAAATGAAATATATTCAAAACATAATATTTAGCAACAATTAAAATATTTTTCTTTATCAGGTTGTCTCTTTCTTTCTACAACATATATAAGAAACAAAATAAAATTTTAAAAAGAAAACATTTGTAAGAAGTCAAAATAGTGTAGTAGACAAGGCACGTGTAGTATTCTGTCAAATCTAAGCCATTTTTTTTTTGGTTTGAGCAGCTGCATATGTATATAGTGTCATGTCTAAGTAATTATTTATGCATTTTGCCTGCTTCATGCTTCAGTTACATTGGACATCTATTATACATGGGACAACTTGCATCATGTTGATTTTAATAAAAGTCTATCTATATGACATGCCAAATATCACCTATACATTCTTAGCGTCAAGGTTTAATTTCAGAAAAAAAATGATATATATCTCTCCGTCTCAAAAATATTATAGATTTATTAATTTATACTAAAATAACATAATCAATAGTCAGCTCTGTGAAGCTATTACATCCACTACATCAAATAGATACACAACCTTTTGTTTTGTTTTTGTTTTTTTTTTTAAAGTTAAACTGTTAATTACGACTTTATAAAAACATATAAATTTAAAATATGCCCAGACTTTATACACAACTCTATATTTTTTGGATTTATAAAATACAAATTTACATGGGTAGTAATACATTATCAAAACAAAAAGATGCTGCCTGTATTATTATTCTTCATAGGGAACAAGAGAAAGAATACGATTAGACTATATACCTGCGTAGTTTTCGAAAAGCAAAAAAAAAAAATAGGGAGAAAAAGAAAACCTAACTCCTTGTCTTCTAAATCCTAGCTATAACTTTGCTGGTGGGGTTCAAGTGCTCATAACTCATTTATCCTCTTATTAATTGATAACCAAGTGGCTTGAGGTGTGATGTTGCCTGTTGATTCAACTTTTCTACTGAAGCCATTTTGATTGAGCTTTTTCCCAAAAAAAATTAATTAAAATAAACGTGGATAAATTTAAATTTTTCAGAATATTAGTAGACAGAAATATATCTCTTGGATTTCCGAAATTCGAGTTCTAATTAAAATTAAAGATTCGGATTTTGTAAATTCAAGTCTATATTTAATAATAAAAGAATAATTAAATAAATTTTGTTGAACAATAGTTTTTAAAAATTCTTAAATGAACAGTGCTGTTCAGATTTCTAGAATTTGAATTTAATTAAAAATAATAAATTGAGGCGCGAAATATTTGAACTCAAATAAGGAGTCTAGGACCTGGAGTCCTTAAATAAACAGTAGTCCTCGGATTTACAAAATCCGAGTGTACAAAAAGAAAAAAGAAAAAAAGAAAATCGAGGCGCGAAATTTTTGAATCCAAAAACCGGAAGTCCGTAATCCGGTTTTCCGTATTCGGATTTTGGAAATCCGATGGCCTTTAATTTTGGTTGGTAGAAGTAGGCATGTGCCATAAATTGGAGGACAAAAAAAATGAATAAAAAAAATTCGCAATTGACCAAACTCGGATCCAGGAAATCCGAGGCCACGGTAATTCGGATTTCTAAAATCCGAATTACCTACGGACTCGGATTTACGTTTAACATGCTATAAAAGAAAAAAAAATCAGACAGTTCTCATTCGAGAACTGAGTTGGATTTTCTGTTTTTGCAGCTCAAACAAGGGCGAATTGGAGCTTTTGATGCATTCTTGCCTCTAGATACGTGGGAATCGTTATTTGAAAGAGGTTAGATTGCAAAACCATGTTATTTAGTTTAGTTTTGTGTTATTTTGATTGTTAGAATGATGTATGATATATTAGGGTTTATGTTGGTTGGTTGTTTGGATGTTTTAGGTATTGATTTTGAGGTTAGAGATGAGAAATCATAGTTATTCATGAGATATGAAAGTTCATTTATAAGTATTTTAGTATTTTATAGGTTTTTTGAATTATGAATGGAGTATGTATGGTGTATTTGTTGATTTTGTTATTAAGAAATGATTAGTTATTGATGTTTTTTTTAACAGTTATCAATGGCACGTAATGTATCATACATGCTTAATTTGTATCATACAAGCAAGTATGTGATAGAGAATGGTAGCATCAACACTTTTTCGAATATGCCGGATGATGGTTTGTTTGTTGAGAAAAGGTTGTCATATGAGGGATTGCTTAGTAAGATTTGTATGACACTTGGTTGGGATCCAGCACACGTGAAACTCCACCTTTCTTTGGTTTTCGATAGTCCCGGTGGTAGGCGTATAGTGAAGATCAAGAATAATTCGCATGCAGAGTTCATGAACCGTGTAGATCTAATATCATTTTTGGATTTATACATATATTTGGAAGATTTCACTCAAGAAGAAAGAGAAGCGAGTTTGGAAAACGTGTCATTTTGTGGTTTTCCAAGGCGGGAACGTGCTGGTACTTCTCGAAACCGTGATGAAAAGGAGACACCTTTATTTGCACAAGATGACTACCGGGAAGAGTCGGATCTTGGTCTCATTACAGCGTTGGTGGAACGGTGGAGGCCAGAAACCCACACTTTCCATTTCAATTTCGGAGAGGCGACTGTGACACTACAGGATGTCGAGGTCCTCTTTGGCATTCAGGTGGATGGTGACCCGGTGTACGGGACGACAGTTAGCCGGAGTGCAGATGAATGGCGAGATCGATGTGAGGCTTATTTGGGATTCCGGTCAGCCCAAGTAAATGGCCAATGTGTCAATGTTGGTATTTTCGAGGATAAGATGGGCCGTGTACTCCCTGAGAATTCCAGTGTCCATCGATTCGAGCAAAAGGCCCGGACACTTATACTGCATTTTATTAGCACTTTCATGTTTCCTAACAAGACGCAAAACACTGTGAATCTGCAGTTCTTGGCCTAGGTTGAGGATTTGGATTAGTGTAGTCGATACAGTTGGGGACCGGCACTGCTGGCTGGTTTGTACTCTGGACTGTGCGAGGCATCACAGTACATCATGCACAACGACACTGGCTGTTTATATTTGCTACAGGTACGTATTAGTTTTCAATTGGTGCTATAATTATTTTTTGCTTTCGACGTTATAATTTGAAGTTTTAACATTATTATTGAAATTTACTAGGTATGGGCGTATGAGCGGATCGAGAGAATCGCGCCACAAAGAAAAGGAGTAGATTATTTGATTGATGAGACCGCTCCATTAGCTCAGCGGTACGTATTTTCAGTTCAAAATAACTCAATGTTTATTTTTATTTGTTTTTCATTTCATCTGTTTTACTAATTCAAATGTACCCCTTCGTGTTTGTTCATTAAGGTGGGAATGTAGGTACACCTACGGAGACGCCCCAAGGAGCAGCCCCACCTTTTAGAGATCAATTAACAAGCCTGCGTGTTGAAGATGTAAGTACTTAATTTTGTATTTATATTTACTTTGAATTTCTTTTCGTTCTGGTTATACCATCTAATGAAATTCTTTTCGTGCAGTTTCGGTGGCAACCATATGCAAAGGTCCTTTATAGACTCCCTGATTTTTGTACACAAGGCCAAGCCATTTGGACGACCAGGTGTTGGATGTTCTGTTGGGCTACTAGGGAACCTCACGAGTCGGGCAGAGTTGTGAGACAATTTGGATACATACAGGATGTTCCCAAGCGCCATATGATTAAAGATAATGCATCATTTCTTCCCGATCACGCCCACAGTATGTCTGGGTATCCTAGCAACAATTGGGTGGATCACCATTCCGCAGTACGTCGTCATTGGAATAGGAGAGAAGAGTACGTGCTATGTGATTTGGAGGAAGGAGACCCTGGCTCCGAATATGAGAGGTACTATGAATGGTTCATGGTGAACACTGTCAGACTGATATCTAATCCCAAAAATTATGAACCTCAAGGATACTAGACTTCTTCGAGCCGAGTGAAATTATATGTGAGTTCATTCTATATATTTTTTTATTTCTTATGTTTTCATTTTATTTTTTTTTAATTTTTTTTTTTAGAATTTTACTCTCTTGATTAACGTCCCAATTTCTTTTCAGGGTGACGTATTGAACAACATTCGCGTGAGTTCCGAGAAGTTTAGAGAAAAACGAGAAGATGAGAATCTCCTAGACGAAGAACTCGACAAGCATTTGGACAATATCATCAATCAAACACATGTTGCTTTAACCCTGGGTGCAAATGATGAGATGGACGTGGAGGATACCCAAATCCTGGTTGATGAAGATCCATCTTTGCCCTCACAACCTCCACCGGGTAAAAAAGCGAAACCGTGGTCGAGAGATAAGATTGGAGGAAGAAGAAAGAGGAAGGTCCCAATCCCCTCTCGGACATCACAACAACAAACTGAGGGTCAACAAAATGAGGATCAAGCACATTCTTCTCAAGGTTCGCGCATTCAGGTCGACACTCAATTTGAAGACATTCAGTTTGGTGGACAGTCGCAACCACAGCCGGGAGTCAAATTTCTCACCATGGAAGAGTCCCATTCCCAACCCCAACCCGAGCCTCAGTTTGGTGGACAGTCGCAACCACAACAGAGTTCAATACTCACGTATCTTAAGAGGGGAGACAGGCTCCGGTATGGCCCAAATAAATACACTCTGGATGCGCACAATAAAGGAAAAAGGAAAAAATGAGACCTTTGATGTATTTTGCACATTTAAACTAGTTTTTGTATTGATTTTGGTATGAAACTTGATTTGTTTTGTTGTTAATTGAATACCGTTTATTGTTTTGTTGCCATTAAATTTCTGTTTTGCAATGTTTCATTATTGTTGGTGCTGTAAACAGGTTTAGGACTAGTTCAATTTTTTTTTTTCAGTTCTGACATACACTCGGATTTAAGAAATCCGAACCCAGACTTTTTGTAAAGGATTCGGATTTCGTAAATCCGAGTATGTAGCCAACTGAGAGTTAGCATTTTACAGAAAATAGAGGAGATTCGGATTACGGTAATCCGAATCTACATTCATTCGGATTACCGTGATCGGGGTTTTCCTAAATTTAATTTTTCAACACATATTTTTTTTAATCCGGAAATTAATATTTTATTCGTAAATACGAATTTAGAAAATCCGGATTTAGATTAATTACTCTAATTTCTGTCATTAACTTAATATCGGATTTACGTATCACAAAATCAGATTTCTCTAATCCGAGTTTAGAGGGGTTCGGATTTCGGAAATCCGAGTTTACCCCTCATTCGGATTTTCGAAATTCGGGACATATAAATTTGTCCACAAAATTTTTGGAAGGTTTATTTTTGTACAGGTATATATAAGGACATATATTTAAGGAAAAAATTTCATTTTGATTTTGACACCATTTGAAAATTATGTAGCTCATACACTATTTAGATTGCGGTATCATTAGGGAAGGAATCAAAGCCATATCTGAGTGTAATATGTGCCTTTAAAATTATCACACACAATTCTCGCTTACCATAAAAAAGAAAAGCACTATCTGCGAAGTATTAAACATATTAAATCAATGTCTGTTTGTAAATTAAATCTCTCTGGTCAACTCAAGTGTATATATTTCTTTCTTACATCCTGTGTTACTTCAATTTACTTACTTTAATTGTAATACTTTCTATGTCTTAAAATGATTGCCTAATTAGAAATTTGATTTAGTACAATTTATAGTGACCATAAAAATTTAAATAATATAATCATGACAGGATGAAGAGAATATACAGTGGCAGATCCCTTAGGGGCTCAGGGTTCCTTAGACCGTTAGACGTACTCATGGTTGACCAACCGTCATGTCTGTTTGATCATCTTTTCCGGCCATGAAACCATAAATAGCCCCCCAAATCTGAGCCCTGGTTCAGCCATTGAAGAGAATATATATTGCTAAATGACCACGAGTACGCAAATTTGTGGAGGGTGGATGACAAACCTAAGGTCAACTGATCAAGAATTTGGATTTCATTTGGGGTCGTTGGGGGTAGAAAAAGAAAAAAAGAAAAATTGCGCCAAAAAAATAAAAAATAAAAAGAAGGGGCACATGTAAAAAATTTATAACAAGCGAATGTATTATCATTTCATTATTGGCTGAGTTCTCTGAGCTAGTTTCTTGTTAGTAACTATGAAACTAAACTAATTATTATGTAATTATCACGTTAGTCACTATAAAAAATACGAATTTCGAAATGTGAATATTATAATAATATGGTATCGTTGTTACTCAATAAGAAGGGCAAACCATCTCTGTCAAGGTTGCCTGAGTCTTAGGGCTTAAGCATAAATTCTCTCTTCTCTCTCTCTCTCTCACACACACACACACAAGGCTAGTTCATCTTCTTCTCTTATAATCCCTAAAACATTCCAAAGGCATTAATATCTCGCCCCCCTCGTCCGCTACCCAAAAACCCATGAGATGCCCCCATTTTGGTTCACTCCCACCCACTCATTCCCTCAATCATAAAACACACACACACACACATTCGCTCGCTTTCAAATATCCACTATACAAATTGCCATGTTAAGTTACTGTAAATTTTCACCGACTATCTGTCTTTATTCTTTGCATATACAAAATCTAATTTTATTAAACAATTACCCATAAATTCTTATTCATTTTAACCACGAACCTTACCCGGAAAGTTGAAACTTGCGTCTAACATTAGACTATCATAATTATACTTTATGAATATTTTTGTTCTTACTTTTTTAGGCTTAAATAGGTTAAAAAGAGTTTGTTCCTTTGTTGAATGTTAATTTACGATAAATCACACATGTTGATAACTAGATCTCTCAAACCTTTTGGAAAAATATGAAAACATAAGTCCTTCAATTTTCGGGTTAGAAGCATGACCCGAAATGATTTTGTTCATATGGTGGTTTTTATACGAAAGAGTATCTTATTTATAAGACACACATTATTAATACTAAATTTAATTCAATTCTGTGTATTAATTATAAATAGGACGGGAGGAAATATAACTACTACATTTTTTATACGCTAGCCATACTAGTACATTAGGTTATGTTCATGGTCGAATACACTATAAAAGGTCGACGCCAGAGAAATTAGGGGCATGTATGGCCTGGCTTCACTATCACTTAAAACAGAAATACGGCGATACATTATGATCATGGTAAAATTAATAGCATTCCCTTTGCCTCAAAATTATTATTCAATTTAAATTTTTTACTTTTAGTTCAATTTTATACTAAAATGAAAATCTAAATTGGACAATAATTTTGGGACATTTTTAGATTTTTTTTCGCTCGCATTCTCAATACAAATTTCAATATTTTTAAATCCAAAACCTAAATGGAACCAAAACCCAAAAACTATGTCCATTTAGACCCTTTATTACGTAAAAAATCAATTACAAACTTTGCCTCTCAGTTCAACAATTCAGTTGTTCGAAACTCGTTATAAGTATAAAATATATTTGTAAGTTCTTTAACTAGGTGTCTGATTAAGTTATCGAGATACTTACAGTACAATTTATCTAGCAGATCGTCACTCATGTTGTCGACAGTTAAAACCCTACCTATAAAATTACTTTAATTCTTCATTGAGACCATCTTACCATTTTTTTTTTTGGACATACTTTATTTATTTTAATCCTTTGCATTTCACCACCCTCAAAAACCACACACACACAGTCACACACACAGAGAGAGGGAGATGAAAACAACACCACTTTCTTACATCCGTACTCCCACCACTTCATTCATTCATTCATCCATCACTACTCTCTCTTTGGCCTTCTGCCCCCCATTGCCCACCAGACCAGTCCCATCCTCATCCTCTCTTCCTCTCTCTCTCTTTGTGTGTTTTTTTTGTACTCTTCCCTTTACAACACAAAAAAAAAAAAAAACTCCTCAAATATATTTATTCACACTCTTCAATTAAATCATCACATCTCTTTGCTTTCTTTTCTCTCCAGCTCTTCTTGATGATCCCTTTTTTTCTTCATACATATTTTTGCTAACTAGTACTACCACAGTACTGAATCAATTGGCTTTTCATCACATCTTTTGTTTGCTGATTTGCTCTCTTCTCTCTTTGTCTTCCAGCTGGCTTGGCTGCCTTACCTATCAACTAAAACACTAATAAAAAGAAGTTCTTGATCTCCCTAAGCGCTACCTACCCAAATCTTAAGCTGCTTCTTGTTCCTCTCTCTGTGTGTGAAAGAGATTTGTGATTCTTTTTCGATCCGGCCAGGTTTTTCGATCTGTGAATTTTTCTGTGAGAGGGGCTAATTTGAGAATGGACATCACATCTGAACGTGTTTGCTACGTTCATTGCAATTTCTGCAACACTATACTTGCGGTATTGTATTTTTTTGCTTTGTTTTCTTTTTTTCCTGCAAAATTAACCATGAAATCTAAAAAGAATAGGTGGGTTTTTCATTTTTGTTTGTCTTTAAAAAAGCACTTGTTTGAATGGTTGTGGATTGATCCATATGAAGTTTGTTCCAAATGGAAATTTGACCATATATGTGCAAAGAGATTTCCTCCAAACTTTCAGGGTTGGGTCAATTTTTCATTCTTTTGCTGTCAAGAGTTTCAAAGGGTATTATTTTATGCAAATTTCTGATCTTTTTCTCCTTCTTCTTCTTCTTCTTCTTCTACAGAAAGTCAAGTACTTGAAATCATAGACTCACAGTTAAGTTCTTGTGGTGTCTGAGGTTAATTTTCATGAGGTTAAAGTCTTCAAGGTTAAACAATAAAAAAAAAAAAGGAAATGGAAAAAGAATAGAAGAATTTTTATTATTATTTTTTTTTACCTGGGCTATTCATCTTCTTCTTTCCAAGTGAATTAAAGAACCTGGATAAACTACATAAGTAGCAAAAAAAGTCCTATGTCTTTAACTGAAAAGGAATCTTACCATACTGGAAATGTTTTTTGGTTTCTTCAAATACTACTGTTTTAGGGTTCTGATTCAAAGTCCATTTAATCTATAAACTTTTATACTTATATATCAATCTTTCTTAAACCCATCCTTATACAGTGTGCCAACTTCCATGTCTTTTCTTGTACATAATAATATGTCATCCATCTCATTCAATTCTCTCTTGTGTTCATTTATTACTCATCTTCTTCCTTTCTTTCTGAAGTCCTCCATGTTCAGATTTCTGCCACTTTTTTTTTCTTTTGTTTTTAATGCTGTTTATACACAGTGTTTTTCGTTTTCAAAGAAAGGAAGAAGATTTATCAAATATTATTGCAGCTTTGTCTTTCACTGTGTGACTATGTGTTTTACATTTTTCCTCTTTTTTTTTTCGGTTCTTAAGGAGGTAGGATTATTTGTTTGTGTGCCCACTGAACCAATATATATAGATTTATGGGCTATTTTTTTCACTGTTAAAAGATCTTCATTACTGTTTCATCACCAGCTTTCCCTCAGTAGTCAAGAAAATGGTGAAAGAAAACGCTGCCAAAAGGGCAGGAAATCATGGCCAAGAAAACCACTTTTTTTGCCATTTTCTCATTTAAGCTAATACAAACGAAAAGATCAACCAAAGAAATAATGGGTTTATGATAATATGTGGGAAAACTTCTGATGGAAAATTGGTGATATACAGCTGATGTGATTTCTCTCTTTTTTCATGGCCCTCTTTGGTTGATGATTTTTTTTTTTTTTTTCATTTTTGGTTCTGATGGTCATGTCATTTTCGTTAAAACTCTCTTTCTCCAGTGTCAGAAAAACAATAAAGTCAGAAGCACCGAAAGAAAAGGAGGAAGATGATGATATATATATATATGTTTTGGGGGTGGGGTGGGGGTTTGCTTTTTACACATCAAACAAAGACCTTCATATTTATATATATAGAGAGAGTGATACAAATTACATATATATAAAATTTTGTGATGTACATTTTTGATGTCTGTGAGGCGGTAGTACTGATCAGTGATCATCGCCCTATATATCAGTGATTCCAGTGACATAGAATAGCTCCAAGACAGAATCTGTCATATAAACTTTCCCCTTGGTTTTTTCACATTCTGAAAACAACACTTGTTATAACGAATTTCTTTGCCTTCATATGTATCCAAATGCACAAAGTCATCATAGTACGAATTTTATCAATTCCTTCCATATGTTACAAATTTAACAACAGAAGATACCTTTTTTCAATTTTTCGCCTTCTTCCTTCCTTCTTCATCTGCACCCAATTCGGATTTATTTGTTATTTTTAAGGAAACCAATCAATAGGGGGGGTGACATATGTAAATGTTTATTTATAGTGTAATCGGACAAGAGGGGAAAAAAATAAAACATAAATAAGGAAGAAATGAAGGTCAATTTGAAGTTCAATGTATACATATATATATATACTTTCTTGAAATGGGGTGTTTGATTTTTCGTAGGTTAGTGTTCCATGCAGTAGCATGTTCACTATTGTTACAGTAAGATGTGGGCATTGTGCGAATTTGCTGTCGGTTAATGTGGGAGCTTTGCTTCAAACACTCCCTCTTCAAGATTTCCAGGTACATATGTATACATACTTTTATGATCATAAGAATCAAGAAGCATATTAATTAGTAAAAGTCAAAATAAATCAATTTTTGATTTGCATTTAACCTACATTATATTGTGGCCTAATGTCGAGAAACTTATGAACGATCATCATCTGTATGACCTCAATTCATCTTAATCACAAATCTACATTTTCCCGATTCATCCTATTCTTACTACATTGAGTTCCAAAGTGTGCTAGTATTTTGTAGAAGATCATCTGCTCGCAGTTAATAATTGAATTGGTATGCCGAACGCATAACCAAATGTAGCGTATCAACGTGTCTTATTAGTTAAACGATATAGTTTGATGAAAAATTGTTATTAAAAGTAATACATCGTTATTCCAGTAAGACATGATTATTAATAACATGCATAAGTTGAGAAGGAAACAAATATTTGTAAAGACAGACTTTACTAATATGGTTTTTGTATGTGTCCTTTTTTTTGTTTTGGTGTGGGAAAGAAGTTGCAGAAACAACAGATCCAAAACTCATCAGAAGAGGCGAGTAAAGACAGTGGGTCGTCATCTTCTTCTAAGTCCAACAACAGATACACTCAATTCGAGTCTTCTGATCTTGATCATCCCCCAAGAATGCCTCCTATTCGCCGTAAGCTATACCTCTATCTCTTGCTTTCAGTTCTAATTATAAGACATAGTTTTTGTTCGAGATTATTCATTCGTTGTAAATATAACGAACGGAACCAAAAAAAACACACACACACACACAATGAGACTTCAAAAGAAAAAAGAAGTGAATGAGTCTTAGTTAATGCCACTTGTGAATTGTCATCAAGTAAGTAATTTCTGATGAATGATTGCCGGAAATAGCTATTTAAAAAAAATAAAAATAAAAAAAGGGCACCTGAATTTCTTGGGTTTCAGTAATGAACTGTTGCGATGGTGACAGTTCAATTCTGTCCAACTCATCACTCAGATTGGCATCTTTGAACATACCAATTCGAGCAGTACCTTTTTAATTTCAGGGAAGGACTCTTTTCTTTCCTTTGATTTGTTTTTTTTGCCTTAATAAAAATCTGCCATCATTTTTCTGCCAATATTTAATAACTATCAAATTCATGCATGCATGATTACTAGTTACTACCCATGGTTATTAACCACTGATCAGGAAGAGGTTGTGTTTGTCTTTCTTGGAGTATGGGTTGTAGATGTTTGAAACCCCTTTTAAACCCATTATTTTTTTTTTGATTTTTTTTCTTAAAAGATGCATAAATTAATGAGTAATTCACAGTCTCCATCAATTTTCTTTTGCTACTTATGCAATTTTGGGGGGAGTTATCTTGTGTTTGCCTTTTGTTTGCCACTTGATGATATATATATATATATATATATATATATATATATATAAAATATATAAGTCTTTACAATGGGAAAATAGATTGAATCATCAAAGATCAAAAGGAACTATTATTGAATTATCAATATGATTCATATGAATTATGATGCATGGCCGGTACGTAAAAGAAAGAAAAAGATTGCGGAAAAAGATTAATTATCAATCTAATCATGAGATGACAGAACTTGATTGCGGAATGCTAATTCATTCTGTGAATATTCATTCTATAATTAACTTAATTTTAGTTATTTTATCAGATTTTTTTTTGTTTTTTATTTTTTTAAAGTGCGAACATGCTTTATTTTAATTCCTGACTATAACACTATTTAAATTTTACTGGATGTCCAAAGTTGGACATTTTATCAGATGTAAAAAAGTAAAAATTAAAATTCTGTAACACAATTGATTGACTATCTTTTGACTTGATCATGGTTCTGCAGCACCAGAGAAAAGGCAAAGGGTTCCTTCTGCATATAACAGGTTTATCAAGTAAGTTGATGCAGACAAACAAAGCAAAACTGAAAAATTTTTTATGCCCCGAAATTTGTGTATGAACGCTACTTTATAATTAAAATAACATCAATTGATTTTCTATTTTCTACTCTTCTAATTTCAAATTCGTAAAGAAAAAGAAAGAACCCAGAAAAGTCACATGCTAATAAAAGGGAAAAATTGTGATGGTCATTCAGATTGTGGATAAAATCTGATAATATGATTTCAAACCATGATACCAGAGAGGGGAACATAAGACAGCAATGTTGGAGTTGTATAATTAATTATTATAGTAATGCTATTTTAATTTTTGTTTTTATAGGGAAGAGATACAAAGGATAAAGGCCAGCAACCCTGAAATTAGCCACCGGGAAGCTTTTAGCACTGCGGCCAAAAATGTAAGTACCACATAATGAAATAATTAATGTTCTCCGTCCCAAAATAATTAGCGACAATCATTTTAGATCAGATGGAGTAATTGATATTTGAGTAGCAGGTAAGTTATACAATGAAGAGAACTTCGGTTTTGTGCATTTAGGCATGCTTGATGAAATAAGCTTCTTTAACGATCGTTTAGGCTTGGAAATTTCTAGATGACTAGTAAAATGAAGAAAACTCTTATATAATATACGACCAACCAAACGAAACAAACTAATCTAAAAGCCTAAATTAGTTACTACTCAGACAAATATGTTTTATTTATTTATTTATTTATTTTTTTAGATAAATCACTCCTTTGTGGACTGTGGAGGCTAAATGACACGAAAATAAATAAGCAGACACTGCAAGTTAATGCATGGCACTGTGATGGGCAAACAGCAAGCTTCACATTAACATGAAGAGACTCATTTATTTGTTAGGAGGCCATTGTTTTAAAATTTAATAATATTATTAATTGTTAATTTAGGATTATTTATTTCTTGCTCACACAAAAACAATTTTATCCTTAAGGATTAAATCAACTATTTATATCGGCATATTTTAACGAAAGAATCCATGAATAGAACCAAAACGGAAATTATTAGATAAAAAGAGAGGGTAAAATTCTTTTTTTTTTTTCAAAAATGATTAATGATTGGGATACAATCCCACAGGCACAAATATCACAATGTTGATACACATAAACAAGAAAAGAGTTTTCGTTTTCTGGATAAATGCAATATATAATGATAATGAGTACAAGTTTGTTTCTCTAATAAGCATATAAGTGATGAGTTTTGGTATACTACTATTCTTTGCAGTGGGCACACTTTCCTCACATTCACTTTGGACTCAAGCTTGATGGCAACAAACAAGCCAATATTCCACTTTCCGCAGATCATCAAGGGGCTCCAAAACCTCGTGGCATCTATAACTAATACTGCAATTTTATTTTACAAATCCCTAAAGTTAATTTTTGGACCCCAAAAAATGTTAACTTCAACCAGTTGCATTTTTTTTCCTCCAAAAATATTAAAGAAAAAAAATACTCTTATATATATATAGCTACTCAGTTTGAGAAGAGTTCTTCTAAGGAAGAGCTTATCCTTTTTAATTACTACTATATTTTATATTGTATAATAAAATTCATTCTTGGAATATAGATAATAATTTGAAAAATTTTCACAAAAAGTATTTGATATATATGTAAGTTTAAATGTAATTTTTATTTTATCTTCCTTTTATTTTTTCCCGTTTTTTTTTTCCCTAAAGATTCACTTGTTAGGATAAACCGTATTATGCATAATGCAAGTGGTTATTGGGATTTTATTGAGTAAAAATATTTTAACTTATCTGAATTTTGTCATGACAATGGTGAAGTGATTCTCTCTTGTTAGAGATGTTCATTCTGCTTTGTGAGGGTAGTGTGTAATCGATTTTTTTATGAATACATTTACATGTTCTTTATCTATCTCGAAAATATTGTTCTACTATTGTTATGCTAAACTATAATACAACAAAAATGACAATCATGGACGTTACTTATTGTACTCGAAGAGTATTTCTTTTATAAAACTGGTAAGCATACATGAGTTTATTTATTGTACTCTTAGTGTTAAATACCTTTTCGAACTTAAATTAAGTTTTAGTTCATGTGCATTTTAGTAGGTTGGTTTTTTCTAGCTTGGTTTTGTAGGGGAGTCCTTAGATACTTGTAGGTTAACAAAAACTTTAAATTTTGTAATTATGTTCTACTTTTCTCTTCTTCTTTTCGTGCTCAAGATATGGTTCAGTTGAAATATAAAAGTACATATTTAAACTTGAAATAAAAAACAACCTATGGCGTGGATCACATCCGACATTTTAATTAGCAAGTTACTTGTATCGCGTTCCTTCGGCGACTCGAAAGTGATTTCTTTGCTACTGAATAAGTGAATACATAAAATTTAGAAAATGAAAGTACTACTCCATCCGGTCCATAATTATTGTCCAGTTTTAGTTTTCATTTTTAGTTCAAATTGTACTAAAAGTAAAATCTCAAACTGAAAAATAATTTTGGGACAGAGGAAGTATTTATTTATGGATAATTTTCTACGTTACAGTGTACATCTATCGATCATTTCATCCTACAAAGTACAAACTACGGTTTATATTTTCGCTTAACGGTATCTCAATGGAAATACACTACATTAGTATTTTTGGTTGCCAAATTCAAGATTATGGTAAATCATGGATAAATGGACATTATGCTCTAGACTTCAGGTTGCCAACCAAATTATTGTTTTCATCCAGCAAATATACCATAGATTTAAATAAAGTCCACCGGAGTGAATCGATTTTTAGTTTATTAAAAAAGATATTACGAAGAAAAATACTGCACGAAAAAATGAAAAAACGGACTGTAACAGTATCATATATAGCTAATAATCTCCAAGAACATGAAATAATGAAATAAAAGTATTGTATAATTCTGAAATGAGGACGTGCATGGCTGAAGATTCTTATCCTACGGGAATTAAACCAGTGCATTCGTACGTGAGATTTTATCAAATAGGGTTTTCCCATTATAAATAATTTAGGGTTTTCTAGGCTAAAAAAGGAGTCGGTCACTAGCTACAAATGTATTATTAATGTGAAGTGGATGAGCTATTCTAAGTACTAAATTAATTGAAGAAACATTTGAAATGGTCCCTCCAAGTCTCCTGGTGGGCGAGTCAGTACTCTAACCCCAAATCCATAATATGGGGTTCTATCAACAACTTAAAAGAGGAATTTATTATATTGCCTCCCAATCCAATCTTTTTGGGGATGTCCCAAATTAGTGTTGTATTTAATTACTTAATTATAAATTCAGCTTTAATCCTTGCATCCCCTAATGTCCCATATATCTTGTTACTAACTAAATCAAAATTTATTTAGATAGGCGTACAAAATCTCGTACCGATTATAGCAAAAAGTATAATAACTAGTTATTCAACCGGTAAAATATACACATATAAGTACAAACCCTATATCATCTTACACTTTTTATTAATCCAACATATTCATCAATGATCTCTTTAATGTATCTTTTCCTGCGAAAAGTTCTCAAACATTATAGAAACGGTAAGCCGAAAATAAAAGAGATAGCAACGTTAATTAAACCGGGATGAAGGTAATAGTATTATTCATTTATTGTTACATTCAAACTATTCAAGTAATGGAGAAAATGGAATGAGGTGGTTGGAGAAATAATGAACACATTGAAAATTTATTGCGGTAGTGACGAGTGATCGGATCATTGATGGCTTTGATGGTAACAGTTCAAAGGGCTTCATCTAATATCATGTTCAATGATTCAGAGATACCCTTTTGATTTAAATGTCAGAATCCAGAAAAGGGAAGTACTTACTTACTGATTGATACCCCAAATTCATGTTACTGCTGCGCCTTCCTGCTCTTGTGTACACCGAATTTGAGGGCATTGGCATCTCTTTCCAATTCCCACGACAAACACTTCCATTCCAAATACCAAAATAATAATAATAATAATAATAATAATAATCATAATAATAATAATACTTAATTGAATCACCAGTGATCCACTCGATCCATCGACTAAATAGTGACTACTTCGTACCAGAAAATAATCCACGTTAAAATTTGTGGATTATATATAGTTGAATTAAGGATGTACTAAAATCTCAATGTTATTAATGTGTATTAACATGATGAATAATGAACTTGTATTGAATTTTGAGGAGCCAAAGCAATGGTTATTACGATAATGCAAATCGAGAATGAAGTCCTCATCCTTGTTTAAGATTGTGGATCTGCAAGTTGAGCTCCCTTCCTACGGAACCCTGGATCGTTCGTCCAGTTTAAAGTATCTGTGCTATAAAGATATACACACCGGCTAACTACAAAATTAATCATCTTCTCTAACCCTAACACCTCATTATTTCCAATAAGTCACTAGTTCGAGTTACATTGAGGCAAGTGAAGAATTATTATTAATTCCTTTAGAGAAAAATAAATATGAGGATGAGCGGTCTAAATGAATAGTACGTAATTGAAGTTCATATGACTAGTTTTTAACTAATTAGCTTTTCATATAATTCTTTTGTTTTTCCATATTTGTAGGTGTTCATCATCGATAATAGTAACTTATCTCTTCATAGAATTGTAAGCACTTTCATAGGTGTGACAACTTTATATATATATATATATATATAATTATTTTAGCTTGAAAACTTTTGCTATATACTCTATGACAATCTCAAAAAAATAACATTTCAATCAATTCATAATGGTTGTTAAAAGGCAAAAACAGATGTATAGAACACCTATTTTGAAACAACGTTGACATTTCAATACATCACTTAACAAAACAAATTACAGGTCGATCATGAGTACTCTACTCACTCATGTCGTAAACAAGCTATACATTTGCTTTAAACTTTATTGGCTTGCACTAGTTAGATTTGATAGTCACTAAACCGGCGTGTTTATCACGTGTTGTATTATTCATACGTTGTTTTCTTACTTAATTGGCCATTGTCACCTCTGCGTTTACAAAATATATTTAAACTAGTTTGTAAAGAGTTAGTAAAAAGATATATTTGGAATTATCGTCTTTTTACCCGAATTTGATGCATGGTACGTAGAGCCTGCTAAGTACCCGATATTGGACGCAAAAAAATTGGCAAGACTTTATTTTTTATTTTTAAATTTCGAGAGATTGATTGATGAATTAATTGGGTTGTCTTTTGTTTGGTGGGATGGAGGCTAAAATGTAGGATCTGTGGCGTCAAATCATGTTGTTGGGTGTTTCGGAATTTAGTGAAAAGTTGCTGCAGCTTATATTTGCTACCTTTGTAGTGTCTCAGCTTGAATTGTCATGTCATGTAATTTTGGTCCTTTGAGATACAGTAACACTGTTGGGAAAATAGTACGTCAATCCTAACAATTTATATTTGATCGTCGTGTTTGTTTGATTATTTTGATCTGAGAAAATATTTACGAACTAAAGTAACAAAATTAAACGAAAAAGGGTTGGTCATTCTGAGTTGCACTTATAATAGTACAATCTGAAAATGAAAATTCAAACTGAATAATCATTATGGAGGGAATACCATTTCAAACCGGCGTTGTTAATTGAATCGAAATTATGGAGATCTAAACTTTCGTCCTTGTCGACATAAATTTTCTCATCCCATCCAATCCTTTCATTTTTTATTAATCAAATTGAGTGCTGGATGTAAAATAAAATGAAATCAAAATAAGCTCTAGTTTTCAAAAGAAAAAAAATGAATAAATAAAAATGTGGTAACAATTCCACACACGATACAAAATATATGACAATTCCCAAATTGTGTAGATTGTGATTCCATATGTTATTCTGAACCATTTTACTGATGATTTCAATGGATCTATCACTGTTCTGTAAATAAATTCTGATTGGCTAGAAACGAATGTAGAGATGATGATTAAAGAGATTGGCGGTCCCCTGCATGAGTTATGGGGAGGGTCAGCTGCACGTGCTACGCACACTTATGAAAAAGATTACCGGTGGTCCTCGCGTCCCGATACTATGAAGTATGAACACACAAAAGAAAGAAACAGTTGTGGACTTTTTATTAGTCTCTCAATTTCCACTTTTCATTTTTTTTTCTTTCTTTTTTTTGGGGGGGGGGGGGGAGGGGTTGTTGCATAAATAATTTGATTTACAAGAGCTAACATAAAAAATTGAAGTTGAACATACTTCCCGGACAAGTAGGGGAATAGATGTCCTAACTAAAAATGTAAACTCAAACTAGACAATAATTATGGAACAGAGGGAGTAGAATTTTGAACTAAAAATGTAAACTCAAGCTGGACAATAATTTGAACTAAAAATGTAAACTCAAATTGAACAATAATTATGGGACGGAGAGAGTACAATTTAAGTCGGTAAAAGTGTAGATCAATCATTCTCCTAAGATGGAGAAATCTTGCTGGCCAGAGTTATAACAAGCAAAGAGAAAGAGTAGCTATGAATTTCTTTTGGCAGCCAGTTCACTAGTTCATGAAGTAGCAGCATTTCATTAATGTGTTCAGCAAAAATGGCTTTGCCGGAAACAATCAACAGGTGACAATTATCACCACAGCTTCCTCCATACTGTGTTGCCGTGGAAACTTGCACATTGGCGCCTAGAGGCGACGATTGGAAACTCGGATGATAAAAGCATCATCACCGGAAAACAGTGTATCGGCTGCAAGGAAACAGTGGATCACCGGGGTGTAGGTGCCGTTACCAAAAATCTCTATCAAAAAATAGGGGCATACTTTTCACACTTGCAGCGCCCATCTGGCCAGAAAAGTTCATGAATAAGCTCTCACTTCATGTTCTTGTTTCCAGTTTGATTCGCTGACTAACCCTAGGGATTTCTAAACCCCGGTACCTTTGGAGTTTTTAGGACTATCAATTGTTGTATCTGAGAAATCTTGATTCTGGAAGTACCCTAGTTTTCAGAACATGATAAAGCTAGGTTATCAGTTTGCTAGTACTCTCAGTGCCTGCTAGCTGAGTAAAGCTAAGTTGAAGAGCTAGGTTTTTGAAACCAGGACCATCCCGTTTCGTAAGGTTTCAACAGTGGATACCACTTAGCCAATGGATTCTTTTATCTTGATTCATGAGTATATCCCCACCTTTCCCCCACAATGATCAGATCCAACTCTTCGCACATGAGTATCTAGCAACTTGAAGCAGCTCATAGCATAAGTAGAACTAAGCAGTTCCTGTCTGGGATAGGCATTTTCTCGGACCATTCCTCTACTCTTGCACGCAGCTGATGAACTAAATTAGTTTTTTACTTTCTCAACAACGGCAAGGATTTCCTTTAAGAAAACCGGGATATTAGAGTAGCTGTTTTGTTCTTAAACAGGAAAGGTCACAAAGGAACTTCTAACCTAACAGCAGATAACTAGCCACATCCTTCTGCTTAAGAAATTTGCAGGGAACTGATGCATCAACAACACATCAGAGGGCAAAATCAAGCAAACAAGAATCACAGCAGGACAAGGTAGTGTCATAGAATTAAAATCAAGATTGAAGAGCATGATCCACTTCAAAAAAATTATATAAATGGCTCAGAAAACATTACGCTAGTAAGCTGCAAACCTATCTAAATTCTATCGTTGAATCCCCTTTTCCATTAAAAATGTATCAAAATCCTATACCCTGTCAAATGGGTTCAGACCAATCTTTCACATTCTATATCCATTTCTGTTATTATCAGCTATGAAAAAGAAGAGAAGAAACCATCTTTGTCTATCTAAATAAGGTCATAACTATGAAACTGCACTTGTATACCTTTCTCCAGTCAGTTGTAAATCAGATAATAGTCCCTGCAATACCTAGCCTAGCTATATTCCTCACGCTTTTGTATCCCCCTCAAGAATGCTAACCATACAACAAAAAATGCCAAGGGCTTCAACCCTTTATATTCACCCTATAATTAATGTAAACAATTAGATATTTGTCAGGTTGCAATGATTAGTATGAATCACCTACTCCTTTTATTCTTGAACTCTTCTGTAAAAAAGAACGTAAGCAGCCGAAGATTTTATCTTGTCCTCATTGATCGGAGAAACATGACTATCATCGAAGTCATACCACAGTCCGCCGCCGTGCTACATCAAGATAGGAGAGTTATTTTAGACAAGATTGGGGCAAAAAAAAAAAAAAAAACCTTTAAAATATATCGAAACAAGATGATGGTACCTCCAATCTATTAGAGCACATCATTCGGTTTTAAGTGTAATGGCAAAAAACATGGAGCTAAACACATTGGTCTATCTAAAATGTCAAATCAGATTAGGAAATCTATCTTTCAAACAATTTTAGAAACCATCAATGCACAAGCATGCATAATCCTTTCCTTCAACAAAATGAATTACATATTCAGGTCAAAACAGGAGAGGGTTATAAGAAGTACTCCCTCTGTCCAAAAAAATAGTCCTTATTGAGTTTTGAGTTTTGTACTGTTTTTGGTACAAATTTGGAACGCGATGTGGAGTATTCTTTTGGGACAGAGGTAGTAGTATGGTAGGAGTTGAATAAATCAAATGACAGGGACTGATCTTAACATAATACTAGGTGGAGTGCCTAAAGTAAAATCACTAACCAGAAAGGAAAAGACTGTATGATATTCAGTATAGTTTGGCGTCACGATTGCATAAGAACAAACATTCTTCCAACTAACATTATTTTGAACGCAGTATCGATACCATAAGACTTCTCAAAATAAAGAAACTAAACCCTTGAAAAAACATCAATGGAGCACAAATATAAAAAAGTAACCAAACAAATGCCACTTACATGGACAAATGCAGTATAGTGACCACCCCCCATGCTCCCGTAGTGATTGCTGATCGCATAAAGCTTGTATCGGTGATGAGATTTCCCATCATTGTAGGCTATATAAGTTGATAAATCAAGATCATGAATTGGGAAGTCAACGTATGTCTCCAATTTGTTTTTGGAAAAGCGACTATACGAAAATCTCTTTAAATGTATGACCAGAATCTCCGGCAGCCTCCAAAGGTCTAACTTCTTGCTAGCCTGGCAATGCTTCTTACAAACAGGGCAGTACCTAGCTCAAAATAGATGACATAACAAAATTTTAAAACCACAACAAAGTTTCATAGACATGAGAGAAGAAAAAATTTAAAAAAACTAGCAATCCGCCAACTCGTGATCAAGTTTCTCCGAATTCTTAAGGCAAGTTTTGTAATCAGCTTCCATTCAAAAACTTTGAAGGGTTTCTCAAATTAATACAAAGCAAAGAGAAGGAAACGTGGGAAGCCTGCTACATTTGCAACAAAATGTTCAATTTCATTGGTGGACAAAGCCCAAAAGCAACATATAAAGCAAGAACCTAGCATCACAGCTCCTGTGTTACCTAGTCATGAATGAAATCTCCATGAACCAGAAATATCCATTTGGTTCAGAACGGTATAAGATACGGCAAAAAAATTAACCAAGGCAAGGTATACTGACCACATGTCTTCAGGTCCTAGAGGCTCCTCCTTCAAAAATGCTTCCAGGCAATTGTACAAAGAAACAGATTCCTGGGGTCTTCTTATTAAATACCCTGACTTATAAACTTCAGGTAACGAGAAAATGAGTTGTTTTTCAAACTGTTCTACCAAATTGTCAGGCCAATATACAAGAACATTCAAACGCCCAGGAAAAGCCACGTTACTAAGTGGTTCATCCATAGCCAATTGTGAGCCTACAACATTTCCCTTATCATCTGCCAAGTAAAACTGAAATTCACCATCAAAATATGATCCAGCCTCTTTCGCATCAACATCCTCCATACACACATCTGATGCAGTTTCAGTAAAGGCATCCATCTTAACTTCTTGACTTCCAGATTCTACCATCTCATGAGTATCTTTCATAGTGTTGCTTGTTAATTTCAAGAACTGGAACAATAAATTTAAATAAAGGCTACGGATATCAGATCCATGAATAACATTATGCTTTGTCACTAGGGGTAGTCCAAATGCCTTCCAAACTGTTGTCAACTTCCCATTTATGAAGTGCCTGACAAAAGATATCTATCAGATATCGGATAAAATTGAAATTAAGTGACAACCCCCCAAGAAAAAAGAAAGAAAAGAAATAAACTACATGAAGTATCATTGAATTGGAATGCAAAAGCAAGGCCGATAAGCCAACTAAGAATCAGCACGGAGCATAGCACTTTCTAAGAATGAAGACATGATGCAGTAACTACATCAAAAGGAAACCCCTGTTCTTGTTCTCCCATACATCTATCGGCCATGGCCAATTCTAGACTGAGGCGCACTGGTTAGAGCACAATTCATGTTTAAAAAAAAAAAAAAGTTGCAATGCTTTGAATCTTTCAAACTCCATTCAAGCTCATTAGTTATATTTTTGAATCTTCTGATTTTTAAACAAATGTTGGAGGTGGCTTAGTCTACCAAAGTGAATTTTTAAGTGTGTAAGTGACATAATTTATCCTAATGGTTTATACGCTTTAACTTAAAACAAAAGGACCTCTTTACTATGTTGAATCAGAAACACTCGAAACTCCCCATGCATTTATCATCCAACCTACATTTAGGCCACCATATGAACTGTCTTGTCCATTTGTTGGTTCCATCACCAATCATTTCTTCAAAATTTATAAACTCCAGAATTTAGGCTAATGCACCAATTTAATACTCTACCGCCTCTATTTCTTTTATTTACTGGCTATTTAAAGACGAATATGGAAAATTATTACCATTATTACTATAATGAAACTATTACCTCCGCGCCGGGGAGGGAGTAAATGACTAACTAGAAGTACACCTCATTGTAAAATAGAAACACAGAATCAAACTGCACACCTTCCCCACGTCATTAATAATCATATAAAACCTAGCCTAGTGAAAAGGAAGATAGCTTACTCTTCCATCTGCTGGTGTGTAAAAACTATTGTACAGCCTTCATCAATTGTTTTTGTCATGCGATAAGCAACCAGCCGGTCTGCATCCCTGATTAATGATAATGAATTAGCTGACTCCTCCAGAAAACGAATGATCCGATTGTTGAATACCTGTCAATCACACGAGATCGAGACGAAAAGATGTAGTGTACAATAACAAGATTTTACTCCACTATTCGGGATCGGCATGTAGTGTACATCAAATTAAAATAATTGATACTCTTAAATGAAGTGGATGTAGTGTACCTCAGCTACTAAAAGGTTCTCGTCAACACCTAAAGAACATGAATTGCTCAAAGCCTGAATGAGATCATCGAGTTTTCCAGTTTTTGGGACAGTGATGGTATATGGGGATGGATGACTACTATCATCAATTTTCACAACAGTGATCGTCATTGTCCTCATGGATGTTGATGGCAAAGGCAGTGATAAGTACATGAATGGGTCAAATGTAACAGAGAGCTTTCTGCAAACGGGGCACACTAATGTGGACCGATACTGACCCTGCAATGTCAATAATACATAACTTATTTGGAAAAGCCTTGAAACTCATGTAATCAGAAAATGAGCAGATAGGAAAGAAAGACATTTCAACATATATTATGCATTTGGCTCAAATTTGAGGCAAAAATAAAAGAATAATGATACTTAGATACACCATGAGATGTCAATAAATGAAAGCCGAGCTATTCAGGATAGTTCCAGTCTTGAGAAAAAGAAGCAAATAAAAGAAACAGCAGCCGGGGGAAAAAATATTTAAATCTCAGAATGGCCATCCCTTTTTGGCAGATAAACTTTTCAAGAACATCGTAGTATATATAAATTATTGCTTTATCTGAAATCACACCAGGATAGTTGAATTCTTATACAGTTTTAAACCAGCAGTTAGACAAAAATAGACATAGCCAAAGCCAACGCCATTCTGAAAAACAACAAATCAAGAACCATACAAAGTTGGACAGCTCTTCTTGAGTTCAAATTTTAAAAATTGTAACTAATATCAAAGCATGACAACAATGTAAGCCATTTTAACAGTACAGTTAACCGTGATCATAGTATTCAACAAAAACCTGAACAAGTTCAATTATGTCTGTCGACGTAAAAATGATTCGAAAAAAAAAAAATCAAACGAATAAATGTCCATGGTGCTTGATAGGTGTGTATAGGATCCATCATTGCTAACATTAAGATAAATGGAACAGAATAAAATAGAAAATAGTAGAGAAAAGCTAGAATGAACAATTTACTTGGCAAACATCAACTATTATGGAGTCATTGCGAGCCAGATGATTTCTCCAATACTCATCAGCAATTTCCTCATCTGGCCGAGCATCTCCATCCTTTAATTCATTGTATGGTTTGCATTTCACACGATTCAAATCTTCGTGAAGTCCATCCAATAAAAATGCAAGGAGTTCCTGCAGTTAATAAGAAGAGTTATCTTTGATTCTTAAAATCTGCCTAAAAGGCAACACTGATGAAATATACCAATTACAAATGATGAAAGGCACTTAAATTTCAAAATCTATTAATCAAGAAAATAATACGAACTTGTGAATCATGTTGATTAAAGCCACTAAATTGAGGAGCAAAATGAGCAAGTTTCGATTTGAATATTCTTGGTGCCACAGGGAGTGCTCCAGGAGCCCATAACTTTTTTAATAAATCTCCAAATGCTGAGGCAATCTCCCCCTGCCACAACATAAAGAAAAAAGATTGACAATGAAATTGTATTAGCATACAAGAAAATAACCTACAAAATTAACGGCATCACATTGATACATCATAGAAAGGAATTGTGAGAATTATTAGAAGGAACTCAAAAGACATTTTGTGGAAACGAAAATCTCTAACGTCTGGCATAGATGAGGACTAAAAAGGAAATGGACAATACTTGCGTACAGGTAAGGAATCTTACAAATACAAGTAGCCTAACCAACAAAATGTGCAACAAAACAAATAGAAGTTTGGAAAAGGTTTAGAGAATCAAACATACATTCATGCCCAATGGGTTGTCAAGATTGATTTCTTTCTTATAATCTCCTAGGAAGTAATCAACAATCTTTGGTGTGTGTGCCAAACATTGAAGGGCACTATTCATGAAACAAGTATTGCCCAGATTTTGTAACCCAGTCAAGCCCAAAGTACCAACTTCAAAGCTGCCAACAGAACCACTTGAATTGCTGCGGAAGTGACGGGACGTGACATTATCCGCACAACCATTTATCTTGAACGAACTACCATTACTCAGTTGCCCTGCTGAATCCTCTCTTTTCAGTCCTCTACTCCTACCAGGACCAGATAATCCATAAACTTGCAATTCAAGCAACATCTGTACAACAAAAGGACGGCGACAAGTTAGAACTGAAAACAGCAAGAAAAGACCTATTGTTATTAAGAGTTAATACCTATGTTGTTTTGTAGGTGTAGAACCTGCCAGAGATTTGTGTGCCATTGACAGGTTAGGTAACGCAATTTGTTAATAGATTATAAATTTTTCACCAAATTTGGACAATTTTTAACAAAGCCATGAGAATTTCATGCCAAAAACACCAAGAAAAAAGTATTATCCAGATCATTTTGCTACACTGTTTCGTAAACAAATATGAGTGACTAGAGCGTTCGATGCTGAGAGCAATTATAAGCCAGGTTGTAGCAGACAAATGACGGAACTGTCCTTTACGTAGAAAAGCTAAGGTACTAGAGAAGTAAACATATTCGATGAGCTATTTAACCCCATTCAGTAATGAATCCGACCTACTTATGAAAAGGAGACATTTCAGAGTGCATCGAAGCTTACAAACAAATCGCAGTAAAAGCTATCAATTGGAGCCTTAAGTTTACCTGATAGTAATGGCATTTACAAAGACAACTTGTTTTGACAAACTACTAATCAATTACTACAACGTAAGAACCATGTTGAACTAACCTAAGAATTAATAACAGCAATTGAACTCAGAACTAACCTAAGATAAAGTAGCAGGACTCAGTACATAATATCAGTTATTAAAAACCATGTTGACATAATCAATAACTGAAAGCATTCATTGGGAGGGTGGAAGGAGTGGGAGCAGACATTACCCTCAAAAGCATACAATATGCTGAGATGTAAATAGCAGGTATTGGCAAAAAGATGGGTAATAGTAGTTCATTTGAAAGTTACTAAAGACATTTACAAAAACATAGCAAGGGGGCGCAAGGGTGACTAGAGGGATCTCAAGTGAATTTTCGAATACTATAAGCCCACGAATCAACTTCCATCACCAATCCTTGCAAATTAATACTTTAGTGAAACTGGAGAAAGGGTAGATTTAAAGTTAAAAGTTTGGAGGAAGGCACTCTAATAGTAGAATTTGACCATGAGTTCGTTAAAACTCAATTAAGCAATCATAGACGCAACAGTAGGGTAAATGCTGAAATTAGCGATTAAGAGCAGATGCATCTAAAAAAAAATCGAATTATTTGAAGCTATCATTCAAGAAATGGAAGTGATAAAGAAATTAGACACTATTCAGTCAAGTTGGAATAAATGGAGCACTGCATCCTCTATAACTGTTACCAAAAAGTGCTGCAGAAATTGAAAAGGAAAGTTCTATCAAACAGCCACTTTAGCAACAATGATTTACAGATCATAATGTCACATTACCAAATATGAAGATTGGGGGAAAATGGGAAGTAGAAGTTAGAATGTTTAGATGGACATGCGATGACACTAGATTAGATTAGGATAAATAATAAATACATTAGGTAGCACAAAATAGATGGGAAAATGAGATAATCACTTGAACATCTGGGTAGAACTAAGAAGACCTTTAAATGCTCCAGCAAGAAGGTAAAAGAGTAGAAAACATAGAATCATTCACTCTAAAGAACAGGATAAAGACACAAGAAGCAGTAGAGATAACTGACGAAAATGACATAATGCTTTTAACAGAAAAGAGAACATGTGTGTAAAAAAAAAAAAAAAAGGAACATGTGTGTTGACAGAGTGTGATGTCAACATATTATGTTATAGTCAACTCCCAAAGTAGAATAGTTGTTTCTGTTTATGGAGAAAAAGCAGATCCACTGGTTTTTCACTTAAATGCTTCGGTTTTTAGAGTTTTGGAGCCAAAATTTCACTCTCCATTTTCCAATATATCATGTAGCAAACAAGAGCACATGTCCCAGAAGAACAAGATTGGAATCTGATTCACTACCCAAATTGGAGACAGGCGCACTTGCTATTTGATCCCATGAACACTAAAAATGAGTGCAGAGTAGCAAACTATTTTCAGGGGGATAGAACTTACATCCTGCTCTGGCTGCCGCTGGGAGTCCTTTAGCATCTTATTTTTGTCATTCATGAAATAAAGAAGAGTCTCCCCAGAAAAATCCCAAACCCTTAGCTGCATGAAACAAAAAGAGTGATGAGATTCATTATAAAGATCTCTAGATAGCACATCACTGTATGCACAAAAAAAATGCTCACCGGCTCACTCTCAATACAGAAAATCTTGCAAGCTCTCCTAAAGCTTTCCAACATATTTTCCTGCAAAAATAAGGGGGAAAAAACTATGTGAAAGATAGCTTCTAAAACTAAAAGACATAAGAAGAGATGTACAAGAAAATGAATGCCGGGAAACTAAGAATATATTTTCATTTAGGTTGTCATTGGTAATCTTGATTATCTCCCAAACAAAATGGCAGGGTATGGATCCGAAGGTCAGGGGAACAAGACCAAAAGTATCTAGGGAAGACAAATCCATCATTTGAAGTAGAAGTTATGGATTACGCTAAAACTCTCTGAAGAATGAGGAGAACAACCCTGAGAGGAGATGACAGGCGAAACTCCATTACCCTAAACAGCTAACCCTTCCCTTTCTAATTAGCTTTACATAGTTTACCTAGAGACAGACTTATTGATTTTGCTTGCCACATTTTCTTATGTCTACTTTATTTTTCTCCTTTTTTTCCCCCGAAAACTAATAACAGATAGGAGGGTTTTCACCCTTATGGTCACAACAGTTCTTCCATTTTACATCTCCTTTCTCACTAGTCCATATCAAATTCTAAATTATATACGTTCGAGCTGATTTAATCAGTTATAAACTTAGCTCTTCATGAAGCCGATAAAATCTTCTCAATGTTAAATTCACGAATGGGATTTAACAAATTCAGAGGTACATATTTAAGACGCCACCTAGTGCCTTTATGATTACATTCTTCCACCTCTATCTGTCTGTCGTACCTTCCAAAATGGGTTTTCTATAGATAAAACCTAATACCTCTGCTACCACTTCCTTGAATGATACCGAGGACGTAATGTACGAAAGAAGTTTGAAATCAAAGCTAGCAACATCAGGTGTAGGTAAGTTATTCAATTCTACGGTACAAGTTCAAACAGCATAGCTAGGTTTACATATTTGGGTATGAGGCTGCAAAATAAAAGTGGATTTCAACAACTGTGATGTACTGGTAAAGAACTGCTAAATTGTACACGAATTATTTGGAAATACACCCATTCAGATCTTAAATCAATTTGACTTCACAGAAAATAATCAAAAGCAGCTAAAGGACAGTCTTTCCAACTACTTCCAATGGCAATTAAGTGCCGGCAACATATTGATTGTCAATTTGGCAAACTTGGATAAAAATTGGTTAATCTACAACCTTCATCACCTTTTATGGTAAAAGTATAACTTTAGTAGATACTCATACAACAGTACATATTTTCAGGAGTAATGCAACCATGAAAATGGTTTCCGCTTATCACATTAATATATGTATCTAGTTTACAGACATAAGAAGAAAATTGAGCCACCTTTGATTTGACCTATAATGCAGCTTTTATTTAGTTTATGACTACACTGTGTACGTAAGCCAGGAAAAGTACATGCACAAGCCACTGAAAAGGAACAACTCAATTTCAAAGATCTAACTTGATTCCAGCTTTCTCAGAACGTTAATAAATTAAACCAACAGTTGAAAACCGATTGAAAGTACGACAGAAATTCCTATTAACGTGCACAGAATAGCATTCATGTTCATATATTACAAAAGGAAAGGATGGGGGAATGTTCACCTTTTTGCTTATCTTCACCATAAATGATTCAGTGTCCCGCATAATAGAGAGTCTAAGCTGTAAAGGATAAACATCTGACATATCTTCTTCGGCGGAAAAAGAACTTTTACCATCCTTTGTACCATTTTTCGAGTCACTGTGCCTGAAATATACATCTAGTGAGTCAGATGCCACAATCTGAAACTAAAATTCTAACCAATGTCAATATCTTACAGACAGATCAAACAGAACTAGATACCAATGCAACAAAAAAGGTAGGTAACCTAATAAAAGCAAATCACACATCAAACTATTTCAATTCTGCTGCCACACTACAAAGTTTCATCATGACACTCGGGTGCATGAACAAAAGGATATGCCGAAACTCTACAAGATGGTTCTGTGGCAGCAGCCATAATAGAAAAGTTTAGTTAGATACGGAACCCATGTAGAGTCTACCGTAAGCTGGTTAGAATTTGAGTCACATGATAAAAATGAAAAAATCTTATAGTCAGTACAAAGCCAAAAACAAAACAAAACCTTGGAAGAACTTTTATTAGCATAGTTGTGGATAAAAAAAGCACTTACCATTTGAGTGCCTGAAGCCACATGTCTCCAGACACCAAAGCATAGTCACGACCTGATACTCCGACTTCGCCGTTCTCCTGACTCTCAGGCAATGAGTCAGTCTCTTTCCTCAAGTTAAATGACAGATCAGAGTTGAAAAAATTGTTAATAAGCTTCATCGGGCCCCCATACGACGGTGTGGACGCTGCTGAATAGGGAATTCCTTTTCTTTCATCTGATAATGAGGAGGTTTGTGCTTCACTCCACCACCTGATAACACATCCAAACTCCATCACTTATGTAACTACATTCTCATAGCAAAACTTAAGTAAGAAGTAAAAAAGCACATTGAACTCAAAAGGCAGAATTATCTTTGAAATTTTGTTATTTATCCCACGTACATTCTTGGACCCATTGGCCAACACAACTGTAGTTCATGACCTCAGTGAAAGCTTCAGCACTATTAGTGAAGGGAAGCTTCAGTTTATCAATAACATTCTATCATTCAACGTGTACTAACCAAAGCACCACCATTACACTCCAATCACTTTTTTCATCGTATCCAACGATCACTATTCTATTTTATTTTTCTGTTTGACAACAATAATTGTTAAAGTAGTAATAACAAGGAAAATATTCACAACTTCAGAAACTAGACAATCTGAAGATCTGTGATGAGGGAGTGGAAAATAGTATACAATAAAACAAGCTGAAAACAAGCAAAAAGATTTCAATGATAGGGCTATAATCTGCTACCAGCAAATGTCCGTCTGTCCCCAAAAGTGTACCATGAAATTTCTCATTTCCACATTCAAATAAAAAAAATTGAAAGAATCAAATTATTTGGAGAATCCAGAAACTTTAAGAAAAAGTAGAAAGAATTTCTGATTGAGTTATAATCCACACCCAAAAAGCGACGCATAAAAATTTACAGCTGAAATCTCGATTCAATTCTTTTCAACATATAGATTTGATTCGAGCCCAATTCTTCTTCACCTCAATTTTATCCAAGCTACATTCTCATTCGAACAAACAGAGACAACCCGAATCACAAAAAAAAAAAAAAAAAAAAAACAATTTTCCAGCTGAATTCCCGATTGGCCCTCTCCAAACAACAACAAAAATTAACAATCCCCCAATAATCATCATCCTCGTGGGTTGTCACCAGAACGAAAGAGAAAACAAAAGGCAAGAGTTTTTGATTGATTCAAAAAGAAGCAACGAAATCCAGTTAAGAAACAGGGTGTTTTAGTATGCGCAACTCTATGAGTGTGGCTCAAATACCTGAGAGGAACCAAGTACACTCTCTGGTCATCATTTCCTGAGATGGGCAGCTGTTCTTGCACTTTTCCTTCTTCATCATCATCCTGGTGTTCTTGCTGAGAATGTTGGGAAGAATCTGAGCATTCCTCGGGGCTGTTACTAAGATTTTCCATCTCTTTTTCACAAAATAACCAATGTGTATGTATCTAAACGGTGTTTGAATTGATGGGGAGAGAGAAGATTGGATAGAAAGACACGAATTCAAAAATGGCGGAGGAGATTTGGAGCAAAAATGTACTTCATTTTTTGTTGAGCGGATTTGCAGAGAAACAAGTGGAGCTCTTTTCTGTGAATAGGATACAGAGCAGGTAATTAAAATTCACTTATTAAATTTTACTTACCAAAGTATTTATATTTATTTCCCAAAATATTTTCTGTGATTGGCATTTATATTTTTTCCTTACTTTAAATTCTACCCGTTAAGATTCGAATTAATGGTCAAGATTCCGGAACAAATTTTTTCTTATACTCGGCTTACTATATACTCTATCTAACGCTTCCACTGTCAACAAAGACAAATCATTTTAATGCAAAATACTCCATGATTTAATATTATATAAATTAATAAATTCTACTAAAGAAAAAAAATTTTCAGTTCCAACTCGAAATCAGAACAAAAATCAAATAAAATTGATAAATTAGTAAAATAATGATTTTTTTTAAAAAAATTATATAAATATAGGTCCCCATGGTATTTTCATCTTTGATTTGAAAGATTTAAAAAGGTAAGAAACCGTTGAGCTTTGTTTTTTTTTTCCTTGAAATTTATATTTGAAAATAATTTCATCTTTGATTTCCTCATTACATTCAAAACCCATGGTATTGTATAAAAATCCAAGAAAGTTGGGTATTTGTTCCCAAATATAATTGGAAAAAAGCTTTAAGTTAATAAAATTATTAATTTATTAGAATAATAATTATTAATTTATCGATAAAATAATAATAATCTCTATAAGTTCATAAAAATCTGTGAGCCTAGCAGTATTAATTTAGAGATTTTTTCCTGTATTATAATTGAACTTTAACCAACTTAGCTTGTTTCTTAAGAAAAATAATAGAATTGATAGACAAGATTATATATTTATAAAGAAAACCATAAAACTTGACTACTAGTCAAGGAGGATACATATAACAATATATACCGCAACAAACAGCAAATTTGACATGAGTCCATCAACTATTTTTTATTACAACTTAAAAGTTAGTATGCTAGCTATATAAAATTTATGATAAAAAACATATTTTTATTTTTGTGAATAGGTCCGACAGTTGTATTTAATATGTTATGAAGACTACTTTACTTCTTTTTTTTTGGTAAAAAAGGTTAATTTCATTACCAAAGAGGATAAGTATGTACATCACTTCCTTATCACATGGACTTACAAAAAAACACCATAGCAAGAGAGCAATTACGGTGTCTCCTACTAACAACCATAAGACATATTCTAACTCTATTACACCAATTTTTAAGTTTGGAAGAATTAGAAACCTTTTGGATTGAGCCATATTTGATTTTCAGCTGGAAAATGATTTGGGAAGCTACATTTATCTCCTCAACAACCTCATGGCGAAAAATGGAACCATTTCTTGCCTTCCATATGAAATATATTGATGCACACCAAGAATCTTTCATAGCAACACTCAGGATATCATTCTTCCAATTTTTTAAATGATGATTTTCCAGTAGCTCCCAAGAATTCAGAAGATTCCAGCCATTAAACTCACATACCTCCTGCCAGACCTTACTTGTAAATGAACATTCAAAGAAAAGATGTTTGACAGATTCATCATGTTGGCGATAGAAAATACACGTAGTATCAATTGAGGCGTTCTATTGTGTCATTCTTACCTTCGTGTTTAACCTATTTAGGCAGCACAACCAAGCTATGAATGAGAATCTCGGGGGAGTGAGTCTTGTCCACATTAGCCTAGACCACCAAGGAGATGGTACCGGAGGTTCTAATTTTTCATAAGAAGCTTGTAGCGAGAATGGTTCACCTGAAGCTGTCCATGTCATGTGGCCATTTGCTACTTCACTTACTTACAACTCAGAATTATGATATTAGTTTTGTAAGGCATAAATTTTTCTTTCCTACAAGATTCATCTCATAAATTATGTTGTTTATTACAATTTTTGTTTCAATCTATAAGATTCATTTATATGTTAGAGTTTACATGAGGTTATAGTTAATGCACTTTGTAGGTTTTAATGTAGGTCTCATTAAAGCGTCCAGTCGCAATTGACAAAAACGACGCAGAAATATGCACCCAAGCGATAATTCAACATTGATGTTTTTAGCTTATTATGATCCAAACTCATGTGCTACGTATGAAATTCACAATTCGCCTCTAAACAATCCCTAAGGGATGAATTGAAAGAAGCAAAGTGAATATCCATGATAGCATCTGAGTCATTAAAATATGAAATGATTTCTTGAACTATAAGAATAGTATTCACCGCATTGCCCATCACAGAGAAGTTTGCAAGTCTACATTCATCTGCAAGTATAATTAGGTGCTCTCTCAAATTAAGCAAAGAAAAGTCAACTACTTCTGGGTCTTGAACTCTCAAAAAAAAAATTTTTGACACACCTTTTAAAAAGTTGCTATTCGGATCTTCACACGATCAGAACAATTGTCGATGGAAGTAAAAGTACGATGCAGTGAATAGTTCTTTCTAAACCATAAACATTTAAGGATGCCGTCGATTAGTTTTGGAATCTTAGCAACAAGATTAAAAATAAGGGTCCGTTTGGTTTGAGCACGGGGTTTACTATGGGGATAGGTATAATAGCATAAACGGATGGGGATAGGTTTGGCCATTCCAAAAACATTGTTTGGTTTATAACTTGGGTTTTTGTATCATTTCCAATGTAGTTGTTTGGTATATTTTATATTTAAATTCATTAATATGAAAATGAATGTATATTCATTTTCTGTTTCATTTAAACACTAATACATGTTTTATTCTTAAAGGTTGTTATATATTACTTGGTCAATTCTGGATATTGTAACGCTGAGGGATTTCTATCTCCATTCCTAGGCCAGCGATATCATCTTAATGAGTTTCAAGGTCATCGGCCAATGACAGCTCAAGAATATTTTAACATGAAACATTCTAAGGCTAGAAATGTGATTGAGAGATGTTTTGGGTTGCTTAAAGGACGATGGAAAATATTAGTTTCCCCATCTTTTTTCCCCATTGAAACTCAAGTGCACATTATTTTGGCAAGTTGTCTTCTTCATAATTTGATAAGGAGGTACATGAGTTTTGATCCACAAGAACTGGAACCAGTTGACGAAGATAAACTTCAAAATGATGACCCCCTCGAGAATGAAGGCTATGTGACATTGATTAACCCATCACAAGAATGGCTCAACTTTAGAAATGATTTAGCCAAAGAAATGTTTAATAGTTGGAGAGGCGATATAATTTTTGAAAGCGTGCTTCTTGTCGTAGATGATTAATTATGTTATTGTTTTCTTGAATATTTTCAAATATGTCATTGATTTCTTGAACAGAGATTTAATTTGTGTGGTGTTCTATTATGCAAAGTTTTGAAATTTGAACTATTGAAAATCTTTAACTTTGTTTATTATGCTCATGGGTGTGCTAAGATGGATCAAGATGATTCTTGTCGAGGTCGTGGAAGAAATAAATACTTTTGGACAGAAGATGAAGTGCAGATATTGATACAAGTTCTTCAAAGTATGGCTTGTGATCCGTCGTGGAAAACTGATAGCGGTTTTAAGAGTAACTACATGAGTGAGGTGCTAAAGAGAATTCTTGACATAATGCCTAATTTCACCAAGAAAGTTACGCCTCATCTTGAGTCAAAAATCAAATGGCTAAAGTCAAAATTCCATTGTATCATTGACATGCTGAGAGAGAGCGGTTGTCAATGGAATGATGTGGAGCAAAAAATAGCATGTGAAAAGCAATGGTTCGATAGCTATTGTCAGGTAAGCTCACTGGCAACATACTTTTTTTTATTATAATTAAATTAGTTATAGCCTTTATCCGCATATAATTTTACTCTTTTCATTTATTATAGACTCATAAGGAAGCAAATGGAATGTGGGATTTTAAATTCCCATACTTGAATCAACTTGAATTGGTATATGGAAGAGATAGAGCTACTGGAACAGAGCTCACATTGTTGTTCTCTTCTTCAGCTGAGAAATCAGTTTCACAAGAGTTTTGACCACCACGTTCATTATTTTGAGCAGTCACCATTTTGTGTATTGCAGTTTCATATCCTTGACCAGCTGTTCCAGTAGTATTCAAGTTGATTCAAGTATGGGAATTTAAAATCCCACATTCCATTTGCTTCCTTATGAGTCTATAATAAATGAAAAGAGTAAAATTATATGCGGATAAAGGCTATAACTAATTTAATTATAATAAAAAAAAGTATGTTGCCAGTGAGCTTACCTGGCAATAGCTATCGAACCATTGCTTTTCACATGCTATTTTTTGCTCCACATCATTCCATTGACAACCGCTCTCTCTCAGCATGTCAATGATACAATGGAATTTTGACTTTAGCCATTTGATTTTTGACTCAAGATGAGGCGTAACTTTCTTGGTGAAATTAGGCATTATGTCAAGAATTCTCTTTAGCACCTCACTCATGTAGTTACTCTTAAAACCGCTATTAGTTTTCCACGACGGATCACAAGCCATACTTTGAAGAACTTGTATCAATATATGCACTTCATCTTCTGTCCAAAAGCATTTATTTCTTCCACGACCTCGACAAGAATCATCTTGATCCATCCTAGCACACCCATGAGCATAATAAACAAAGTTAAAGATTTTCAATAGTTCAAATTTCAAAACTTTGCAAAATAGAACACCACACAAATTAAATCTCTGTTCAAGAAATCAATGACATATTTGAAAATATTCAAGAAAACAATAACATAATTAATCATCTACGACAAGAAGTACGCTTTCAAAAATTATATCGCCTCTCCAACTATTAAACATTTCTTTGGCTAAATCATTTCTAAAGTTGAGCCATTCTTGTGATGGGTTAATCAATGTCACATAGCCTTCATTCTCGAGGGGGTCATCATCTTGAAGTTCATCTTCGTCAACTGGTTCCAGTTCTTGTGGATCAAAACTCATGTACCTCCTTATCAAATTATGAAGAAGACAACTTGCCAAAATAATGTGCACTTGAGTTTCAATGGGGAAAAAAGATGGGGAAACTAATATTTTCCATCGTCCTTTAAGCAACCCAAAACATCTCTCAATCACATTTCTAGCCTTAGAATGTTTCATGTTAAAATATTCTTGAGCTGTCATTGGCCGATGACCTTGAAACTCATTAAGATGATATCGCTGGCCTCGGAATGGAGATAGAAATCCCTCAGCGTTACAATATCCAGAATCGACCAAGTAATATATAACAACCTTTAAAAATAAAACATGTATTAGTGTTTAAATGAAACAAAAAATGAATATACATTCATTTTCATATTAATGAATTTAAATATAAAATATACCTCGAGGTACTTTAAGACCATCAGGCCTACCAATAGCATCTCGAAGTACACGACCATCATGTGCTGACCTCTCCCAGCCATGCAAAACATATATGAATTGCATATTTGGACAACACACGCCTAATACATTTGTCGCAATATTGGCTTTTCTGGTGCGATATCTTGGTTTTTCATCAGATGGGGGTGTCACTCTGATTAAGGTTCCATCTAAGGCCCCTAAACAGCCCTGTTATTTGAATAAAATCAGAATACAAAAGTGAGTCCTTAAGTAGTGCATTAAAGTTTACAAAACCAAAAACAATTAACTCCCAAAGTACCTTAAAAGACTTCCAACGGTTGTCCTCACAATCTTCAGTGATAGGTTGAGGTCTTTTAAGCAATATTCCATGTAATTTCAAGATTGCTAAAAGGCAACTATTGAAGTGGCGGCTAATAGTTTCACTGCTTCGATAAAACACCAAACCCATTGTCCTATTCTTTTCATGGTGAGCCAACACATAAACAAAGAGAGCAACTATTTCCTCTAATGAAGTGTTCTTTGTATCTTTTAAACCTCCAACATCTCTTACCATCTCACATAATAAACCAAATGTACGTCTATCCATTCGGAGCTGACTAATACAAACAGTATCAGATTGTTTTGTGAGCCTATACACCCAATTCATTCTCTCCAGTCTTATTTCTTCTCTAGTTTTCAATGGGCGGCTTATAATGTGCAAATACGTCAACAACATTTGCTACCAAGTAACAAAAACTAAAGTAAACACATTAACCAATGATGCCATAATACGAACATTTTGAATTAGTTTGCGTCGTCTACTAGTAACAGGGCTACGTGCCATAATATTCTACAAAGAAATGAAATGAAAACAAAATCAAAAATTATCAAAAAAAAAACATGAATGGCAATCATTTGACATTCTAAAAAAAGCTCAAGTTACAACAAGGGTCAACTGCAAATTAACATCCCACGATATGCATTCCAAATAGAAGCCAACAAAAGAGATTCAAACATTCAATAAAGAATGAGAATCTATGACAATGATCAATTACTAAAAACAAGGATTAGCAACCATTCACATAATGCCATATACATTTCTAGATAACAACTCTTAACTTACTAAGCGTGTTAAAAGAATCCACCGAAAGGCTTTATACATAACATTATGAATCAAAGATCATACCTATACCATGACATAGATCACAATCGAGTTCAATGGTACTAATTTAATCAGCACAAGTGTGCAATAAGATGCAACTAAAATACAATGATTGCATAAACCCACGTCTAAATTTCAATTTATTGTAGTTTCATCCAAACAAAAAGCAAGCAAAAAACATTGCAAAAACAAAAAATTGCACCAAAATTTCTTCATGAATATTCAAAAACTCAAATACAATCAAAGTTTACAATAACCCAAAAAAAAAAAATCAACGCAAGTTTAAAAAGCTGAACTCACCTAAACCCGAAAGCGGCGATAGATTCGTCGCTTCTGCCGCAACTCGTCACGCCAAAATTTGATCAATCTCTGCCCTATTAGGAGAAAGAAAGAACGCATAAAAGCTCTGAATTAGGGGAGCTCATCAACGACAAATTGAAAAGCTAGCCAGCAAAACAGAAGAAAATTAATTTGATTTGCAGAAAGGCAATAGAGCCCAGTTGAGCACGCAAAAACGACGCCGACTACTTAACCAGTAGATGCTTATATACTCGCACATTTTAATGACCAATATAAAGCTTTTGACAGATTCAAAATCATTCCCATCAATGACCGAAAGCAAGACAAAGCACAAAGAAACTAAAATTTTAATTCAGATTACAATTATAAATCAAAAAAAAAAAAGAAAAAAAAGAAGAGTGACATACCTAAAGAAGAGGAAGATGAACACGATGTTGCAAGGGAAAAACATGAAGACATGTATGTATATATATACAAAAGGGTGAGGCGATGAAGATAAGAATTTGGAGAAAATTGGGGAGTGATTGAGACAACAGAGCGGGGAACGATGGAGAAGCAAGGCGGGGGCGGGAAAAAGTATGGGTAAATCACAGAAGGGTGAAACACAGAGAAGAAAATTGGGAGAGATTTGATACGGAGAAGATAACGATATAATTTGGCGGAAGAAAAAAAGACGTAAAGGAGAAATCAGTAAAAAAGGAAAAAATTGCTAATTGATAAGTTGGAATCATTTATGAAACCCTCCCCTTAGGTGGATTTAACAGATTCCTGGATATTTGGCATAATTTCAAAATTTTCGTTTTAAAACCCGTAAAACAAAAGTTGTTTTTGGCAATTAGTCCATTCCTCAATTCCCAAACCCCCAAAACAAATGGACCCTAAGATTTCGAATCTAGCCATTCCCGATTTCTTGAACAAATTTCATTAGACTATTATACGCTCCATGTCTCATACGCAAAGACACAATTAAAGAAAAGATACTTTGTTATATTATTTTAAGTATTCAGTAAAAATTAAATTGAAAGTGAATAAAATAATACTTATTAATTACTAACTACACTAAATAGACGTGAAATTATAAATATATAAGAATGTGCAATTATTGACTATAATCTAAAATAGACGTGTAAAACTGATTCTTGTACTATTACCAAATATTAATCTTGAATATGAACAGATATAATCAATTGTCATTACTAATTTCACTTACTTATATTGTTTTTAGTTCAACAAAGTTGAAAATTTTTCTGGTTTGGAGAGAGTACTTTAAAATATATTCTCTCTCAAATCTATGAACATTTTCTCCTTATTCATTCTTCACCCTTCTCTTCTCACTACTTTGCCTTATTTTATTTTTACTTTTTTTTTTTGTTTATTTTGATGATATCTAAAAGGAGCAATGATAAAGAGAGTGACAAATTATAGTGAAATACAATAGTGACTAATGAAAAGACAAATACACCATCCTCACTAAATATGTGTATTTATTAATTAGGGCTAAATATGTAATTTTAAGAGAAAAATAAAATTTTAACGGGAAAGTGATAAAAAAACTAGGGGCCAAGAATACACCACATCACTCATTATCTTTTTTCACTATTTTTTTTTCACTATACATATCATTTTCCATCTAAAAGTTGAAAGCTGTTAACCTAAAAAAGAAAAAAATGAAAAAAAAAAAATAAAAGATTGAAATATGCTTACTCCAAACCTAAGCATACAAAGTCACAATCAGTGAAGTCAACATTATTTTTTTTTAATGAATAGAGAGGTCAGGATAATGTTCAGGTTCCAACTAGCTCAAAAAAACTCAAGGAGTCTACTCAAGAGGTAAATTTTTGAACTGGCCAGTGCCAAATAGTATAATGCACCCAAGGGATGGACATATATACTATTTAGTTCCCTAGTTTCATCATCCCCTAATTTATTATTAATATAATAGTGGCAAGCCAAGGGCAGTGCACAAACTCACCCTATGGCAATTACAATCGGGACTAAAATTCTTGTCTAAACTATTACAAAGATACAAAAGTCATGCTACCTTATATGCAGATAAGGTAAGGATCTTTGATCAAGAACAAGTAAGCCTCTAGTGTTGGAAGGCAAAGCCCTGCAGGTTCTAAAGACCTCCAACTGCCCAGAAGATGCCAAGTCGGCCAAAGAGTCTGCTACTGCATTTGTCTCACGATAGACATAAATTATAGTAAAATTCCAGCATCTCAGAATACCCAAAATCTCCTCCAATGCAAGATTGAATTTCCAAGGATAAGGACCTCCATTCTCCAGCATCATTGCCAAAGCTAAATTATCCGTTTGAATCTCAACCCGCTTGAGGCCCAATAAAACACAACGCCGAATTCCAAAAAGCAAGCCATAAGTTTCTGCCATGAAACTATCACCAAAACCAAGGTAGCCCGACTCAGCATAAACATAATTCCCACCATGTCCACGAATTATAAATCCATAGCCAGAAATTTGATTCACACATGAACCATCAGAGTTAAGACAATATGAACCCGGAGTTGGACTTTTTCACCTAACTACCTTTACACTTTTTTGTACTCTTCCCAATTTTAGATTGAAGAGAGAGGCCAAAAAATTCCGCTCCTCAATGTATTTCGAAGGTGGCTTATGAATAAATAGCATATTCTCAATATCCAACATAGCAGCCCTTATAATTGCAAAATTAGATATCACTACATCCTCAAACAAGAACTTGTTCCTAGCCTTCCAAAGCTCCTACAAAAGATAAGATGGAAAAACCATTCGTACACAAGACATTGCCGTCTTAGTACTGTTTCCGTTCCACAGAGAAAGAAGCACTTGCTTTAAATCGCCAGCCGGCAACACTACCCCGAGAACTCTCAACAAATAATGTCAAACCCTCTTAGTTTCCGGACAATCCAGAAAGAAATGAGTCAAACTGTCATCAGTCCTCTTGCAACGCATACACATAGAAGGCAGAACTCTAATCCCAATGCGCGCAAGAAGTGTAGGAAAAGGCAACAAAGAATTACATAACTTCCACATGAAGAAAAAAATAAGAAGAGGTAAAAATTTATTACAAAAATTCTTATGAATGATACTTACCTCTTTCCATTGCCGAATTACCTCAAAGGCAGATTTAACAGTAAAAACCCCAGATGATGTTGGCTTCCATACGAAAATGTCCTTACCTTCTGAAAAACCAATTGATGATTTTGCCAAAAAGCCAGTGCCTCCACCGAGATAAAAGGCTGGATGATTGGTAAGAAATGATCCTTTTGTGCAAAGAAATCATATATAGACAAATATGGACTGGGCGGACTTCCCACATCAGAATCCCAAATTATTCCAAAGTCAGACCACTCATCAAACCAGAAGCTGTGATCCCCTCCTTCAACCAACACTTTAGCATGTGAGACCGCCTCTGAATTGATTTTAGCATTGCGTTGCCAAGACGTCTTGCCTCTAGCAGTTTGGGATAACGTCCCTACAAACTTTGCCCATAATCCCTTATTCACCTTTATCTTCCACCACAGCTTAAGAGAGAAATATTTCAGAATGTCTCCTAACTTCTGCAACCCAAGACCATTTTCACATGTTGGAAAAGTCAAAGCATCCCATGATCTCCAATGCCTTTTAGCTTGATCATCCACTCCTTGCCACAAAAAATTCTGACACCTTCGATCAAGAGCATCAATGATTCCCTTTGGAGGTTCTATGGCTGCAAAAACATGCAAAGGAATAGCCGATAGCACGTGCCTGATGAGCAAAATGCGACCACCCGGACTCAACAATTTGTTTTTCCAACTAGATAATCGTTTATCAAGAGCATCAAGTAGAAACTGAAAAGTTTCAAGCCTCTTCCACCCTCTGTATAGACGGTTCCCCAAATAGATAAGTGGAAAGGATCCTTTCTGCATACCAAGGACACCTGGGATCAATTGACTTCTATATGCGCTGCATTTATCATCAACAATGAACACACTTTTTTGTCGATTAATTTTTTGTCCCGATGCTTGCTCATATTCAACAAAAAAAGTTGTTCAGCTCCTCTAGAGACTTTTTAGCTCCCCTTGTAAAAATCACAAGATCATCAGCAAAAGCTAAATGAGATATAGACATTGTTCCTGCGGGCAAACCATAACAAGCTATTTTCCGTCTGTCCATTAAAAACTTCAACCATCTAGACATGGCTTCTGACACAAGAATGAAGAGATAAGGAGATAGTGGATCCCCTTGCTTTATTCCTCTTGTGGATTTGAAGAAACCAACAGGGCTACCATTAATTAGAACAGAAAACTAACTCCCTAAGAGATTAGATAGAACTAAGCTTATAAACTGCATTGGAAAACCAAAACGATTCATTACCTCCTTCATGAAGCTCCAAGAGACTCTATCAAAAGCCTTCATCATGTCCACCTTTAAAATGATATTATTCCCAACCGCCTTGTGATTAACAAATTGACAGAGATCTTGAGCAACACATTGTCCGTAATATCCCGGCCTGCCAAAAAAGCCGACTGTTCCTCCGAGATCATCTTGGGTAAACCAGCTTCAACCTTTCAGTAAGAATTTTTGTAAAAACTTTGTTAACAAAGTTACACAAACTAATTGGCCTCATATCGGAGAAGGTTGTAACAGAAGCTTTCTTCGGGATTAAAGTGATAAAGGTGCTACTAATAGCTTTTGGCATTGGGACACCAAGAAGAAACTCCTCACATGCATTCAACAAATCTCCAGAAATTATATCCCAACATTTCCTATAAAAAATTCCACCAAAACCATCCGGCCCGGGAGCACTATCCTCATCCATCCCATAAATAGCCTCCTTGAGCTCGTCCAAAGACAAACTTTTTAGAAGGACAGCATGATCATCATCATTCAAAATACTAGGGATATGTTGTAGGAATTTCTCTTGACTACATGAATTAACTTCTTCATTTTCCTCCGTCAGCAATGAGCTATAATAAGAAATAGCTAGCGCCTCAATGCTGCCCCTATCTTGATGTCAAGTGCCATCCTTAGATTGAATTTTATAGAGCCCCATGCGTGCTTTTTTCTCTCTCAGTGTTACGTGAAAAAACGAAGTATTCGCATCGCCATCTTTTAGCCATTTCATACGCATTTTTTGGGACCAAAAATCATCATTCTCTTTCAGTTTTTGCAGCAAATGAGCGTGAGAAATACTCAAAGCAACACGGTCTTCCTCAGCTGCAGAAGCATCATACTTAATTTCCAGCTCCCGAACTTGATCCTCTGCATTTTTCAGATTTTCAAATACATTACCAAAAGCTGTTTTGTTCCACTCCTTTAACATACTTTTTAGGCGTCGAAGTTTCATTGAAAAGCGCAGCATGCCATGAGCTTCCATCGGCAAATTCCAATTCTTAGCTACAATCTCTAAAAACTCAGACCTGCGCAGCCACATCTTCTGAAATCTAAAGCATTTGGGAAGGTCTTCCTTATTTGAATCAAATTGCAACTACATTGGGCAATGATCAGACGTAGTTTTGCTCAGATTCTCAATCATAGAGACTGGATATTGGTCCAGCCATTCTGGAGAAAACAAAACTCTGTCCAGCTTTTTACAAACCCAGCCAGTAGATCTTGTTCCACCCCAAGTGAAGTCGTCCCCAGAAGTAGCTAGCTCCGATAACTCACATGCTTCCACACAATCATAAAAATCATCAATGGCATCATAATCCTGCACCGAAACACCAGAATATTCTACCAATGATCTAATCACATTGAAGTCGCCACCAACCATCCATGAAGCATAGCATGATTCTGACGAAAAGACACCAATTCCGACCATAACTCACGCCTCCCCTGTCTTGTTGACTTCGCATAAATAGCACTGAAGAAGAAACCCAAACCTGATGCTACCTGCTCAATTTTCAAATGAAGACATTGATCCATATTACCGACAACATTATAAGAAAATTCCCGGCTACCAAAGAACCAGATTTTGCCAAAATTAGATGCAGCAGCATAATCATAACCAAGGAACCTTCTTGTTTCAGCAATATCAGATACATTAACCATCAGCTCTAGAAGAACTAGAAACTTCACAGAATGCATCTTAATTAAAGCTTTTAAATGTCTTCGAGAGGCCTCTTTATGAACCCCTCGAACATTCCAAATAATGGTACTAATCATTAAAAAAAATTGATGATATCTGATTATAAGAACTGAGGAAAATGTCTTGGCAGAAGACCCTCTTGTAGTTTAAGCCTTTCAGCCTTCGAATTCCGACCCCTTCTTCGAGTAACCATAACAAAACCATCATCAAATCGCGCCTCACTAGTTTCACCATCTGACCATCGATTCGACTGATCAGTAAATACTTCAAGTTCAGAAGAATTGAGATCAATAATCCCTTCTTCAGTTAGAAATAGTTTTTCCCGGCCTTGAGATGTATTCATTACCGAGGGTGGGGCAAAATCAGAGAAAATTTCTTCAGCTTCATCTTCCTCATCATCAGCTTCATCACAAGTAACATGATTCCCATCAGATGATTCCTGAAGTATAATAGTAGTACCATCGTTACTCAAATTTGCAGAAGCACCGCTGACAGCGCGTTGTGAAGAAATAGCGAGCTGTTCCTCATGCACAACAGATTCTGATGTTTCCAACATTAGAGTCGTGTTCGCCTGATCCTTTTCCTCATTCTTCTGTTCATCTTACTCTCTGGTAAGACTATATGCAGCAATCAACAATTCTTTATCTGGATTTGGGGTGCCCTTATCTATAGGAACAACCGGCAACTCCTTGGAGGAATTAGCCCCATTAACATCGATCAGAACACTTTCCTTCTCCTTTGTAGTAAGACCTGATGAGGATGCTTTTTTATCACCTGTTTCTACTGACTTTTTGAACCCCGGCTGCCACTTCGAAGTTGGCTTAGGAAGAATAAACTTAATCTGTTTTGTTTTCCCTTTACTTTGTGCAGGATCTTTCAGAGCTGTTTTACCCTTATTCTCCTTAATCACCTTTCCACCTTGCTTCTTTTCAATCTTTTTCTGTTAGCTATCCAATTGAAGGGGACCTGACGAAGTGGTCTTCTTCCTGTAATTCGTATTCTTATGCCCAATTTTTTTGCAATTCCGACAGAAAGACGGGATATATTCATAAGTAAGAAAAGCTCTTGCTTTTTCCCTTTCTTCCCAATACGGATAGATTTCGGCAATTCCTTTGTTAAATCCACCTCCACACAAAAACAAGCTATGGAGGGTCTGGTGAGATTCAACGTGGGAGCATCTACTTGGAGAGGCTTCCCTATAGCACTGGCCATCGAGAACAAAATAGACGGATGTGTCCATTCTAATGTCAATTCCTACATCGACACCCAGATTGGAACGATCGGGGGGTCTTCTTCGAACATAAAGCCTGGCGTCCACTTAAGCATCCTCATAGAAAATCCACCAATGTCCCAAATTGATCTAATCCAACATCTTTGATAATCCTCTTCAAGCTCAAACCGGATCCTATATGCCGTGAGTTCATGAGCCCTATATCAAAAGACCCCTTAAAGCCAATCTTCTTGAACTCAGCCCTCACATCTTCCATCTTCGGCCTCCCGTAAGAAAAAATTTCCCACTAGAGTCATCAGATGAGGAGCAATAAGCATCTCAAATTCATCTTCTTCGTATTCCAGTTCCAGGATGCCATTAAAGTATTGAACTTTTTTGTGTTCTAGAGGCAGATTTGATCCAGTGGGGATCAAATCCTGAGAGTTTTGATGATTTTGTTTTAGGAAAAGGCTTGCAAATGTTCTCGACGTCCCAATGGGGGGCGCCGGTGGAGATTTTCCGGCCATGATGGCCGGAAGAAAGAAAGCGGCTGCTAGGGTTTGGAGTCGTGCTTAGAGAAGAGAGCTTATTGGAACATATCCCCGAATTCGTATTGGAACATATTTATTCGTTAATTGTGAAGTTTGCGCAGGCCATATGGAGGTTTAACATATCCCCGATTTGCTTCTTTAATCAACTGTGATAGTAATAGTACATTGTTTGAATGGTTTTTGCAATGGAGTCGGAAAAATCCCTCAGTGAAGGAGATAAAACCTGAAGCTTCCATTAGCATTTTTATATCCCTGCTTCTGGAGACTTTTGAGTGTCCACTGGGAGTGGAGAAGATAAAACTCCTGAGAGTTGGGGTTCATGAATTGATTAATGGGTCTTGTTCATCATCATTCAGAGCCAAAATCACTGGGCAAAATGAGAAGAAATACTATACTGAAAGAAGAAATTGAAGAAGGGAGAATCTCAGGGTAACTCTAAGGACATCATTTTTCTTTTCTTTTTTCTTTTGTTTTTTTGTTCTAGATAATAGTAATAAATAAGAGAAGCAGTCGTTCAGCCGCAGCAACAACTTCTCGACAGTCGGGAAAGAAGGTAAATCATATCTGATTCCCTTTTTTTGTTAGGGTTTCGCTTTTTGTTTGTTGGGTCGAAATCTTTATATAGTCATACATAGTTTAATTGTCTGAGGTAACTAACGGAATCTCCTTGGAAAAATTAGGGCGAAGAATCCAAATACATCAATTAAATCAATTTTGTTTCATTTTTTGTCTGATATTTTGTTTGTTCTGTTCAGATTGAAGGTGAAAATGATTGGTACAGTCACCGGCGGACATAAGCCCTTCTCTATTACCGGTGAAAAGTAAGATCTATGTCACTTCCTAGTTTTGTCTTCTCTTCTCTGAATTAGATCTCCTTTTGATGTTTCCATTTCCTTGTTGAATTTTCGTATATTAGTTAATCTTCATTTGATGATTTTGTTTGTTTTGCTTGTATTGGAGAAGGTGGGAACGAACAATGGATTCGCCTACGAACGCTTATCCTTATATTACCAACGGTTATCCTTCTGATGGCGTCAGTTTTCTTCTCTCTCTTTAAATTTTAATACTATATAATAATAATACTATGCAAGCATGGATACCATTTGCAAATAGTCCTTTTTTGTGTTCTTTTCCGTGTGGTTTAATTTATATATATGTATATATTTCTGTGTATAGAACGATGAGTTGTCTGGGTTTGCAAAGGGAACCACAACCATGGGTTGTATTTTCAACTTCAAAGAGATAATGGTAGCTGTTGATCATTCACTCTTGCCCTCGTCACCTAGCAGCTCAGGTTGTTTCTCTCGCAAATCAGGATGGTTATCTCGCAAATTAGGCTTGTCACCTCGCAAATCAGCTCATGCATATCCAGAAAATGTTATCTTACTCGATTCGCATCTGCTTGTCGCTTTTTCTGGAGGGAGCACCCGTTCGAAGGAATTTTTGTTCAGTCTGCCGACTTTGATACTTGCTGCTTGTGTTTATTTGTGAACACTATGTTTAGCTGCAATCTTAGAAAGATGGGCTTTTGTAATAAATGTGGACATTGCATGTGTTGTATTGTCTGAACCAAGTACGGAAACATGGGGAAAAAAAAGTTTCTTCTGCAATAGCATCGAATTGGCTGGCTGAATTCCTGCTTCGTAAGCCTGACAGTGAAGATAGTTTGTCTTTAGGAATACTGATCGTTGGGTGGGACAATGGATCGGTATATCTTAGAATGCTCACTCTTCCTTTTGTTTTTTCACTAATGACTCTTACTGGATTGATTATGGCTTGTCTTTGTGTAGGGACCTGCCCTGTATACAGTGAACGGTAAGGGGGATCGGGTTAAAGGTAATCCAGTTGGAATTGGATCCGGTTTAGGTGGTATTTCTATACTTGATCTTAGGTATGCCTCTTTTCCATAGATGATAACATTTAAGTTGTAAGGTGTGATGCATGGTTGTTGATGCATCTACACTTATATATTGTAATCGCTTTAAATTCTATTTGGTTCTATTCAGATCAGGTTTTTGGAATTTCACCTGATTCTGTGGGACTCTTAAGAACTTGTGTCTGGTTTTTCTACAACCCCCTTTACAATATGTCTAAGGCTGAAGTTACAGAGGCTGCCAAAACCGCACTTTGTCTTGTTGTGTATTATGCGCCTGAGAGGGGTGCATATTTCAGTGGTAAGTTTGTGATCCCCTGGCTACTTCCATTCTTGCACACTAATTTATTCTGGTTTCTTATACGCTCTCCGTCCATTTTTAATGGTTCACTTTGTTGAGTTTGTTCAACAAAGTATCCTATTAGAGTGGGCAAAGGGAGTATTCCTCCCTTTCCTTGCTGATGTTGTGTTCTTTGTTCCTGTATTCAGGTTTTCTGTGTTGGAAGAACCGGGGTTGAAGTGGTGGTCTCTAATGAGGATGTAGTGAAATGGCAAAAGCAGTTCTTCAACAAATTTGGGCGAGAGTGGCATGACGAACAGCCCTGCGCCCTAGATGAGTAGCCGTCTGGAGCATTAAAGAGTGATGCGGTGGTCTTATGCTTCCTTTTGTGAACCAGAGGGATTTTTTGATTGTCTGTTGTGTCTCCCTGGCTGGTTTTATAACTTTGATTACAGTTTCTCTAGACAATTTATTTATCTTTGTGGTTTGGTTATGACATCAACAACTCTTGCAGTAAACTATGAGTCGAATTTGGGATCCGTGTAGAATGCATCAGAATTATGAAAATTGGACAAGGCTCGTAACAACCTAATGAAAGGTGAAATTAATGTCTATAAATCATAAAATTCTACTCAGACTTGAAATTGAAGTTCAATGGTACGTAAAACCGTAGCAATTGTCAAAATTTCTGGTGAATACACTTTGTTATGAAAGCGAAAACAAAAAAGAGAACTTTCTTTAAACCTTCTGCAATTAAGTCTTGTGCAAGTATTGTGGAAGCTGTTGAACCATCCCTGGGCAAGAGCATTTGTCTTTGCCTGCTTTACACACTAATTATACTTCACATTTTCCTAAGGGTCTTCCAATTCAATCTGTAAAGTGAGAGCCAGTATTCTAAGCAGATGCAGACACAAAAAGGGAAAACAGGACAATCAGATAAGCATTTCTGCAAGAATGCATCCTTTTTTTTTTGGAAAATAAATAAATTTATTAATTTGCTAGAAATCGTGTAGCAGCGATTGATAAAAGCAAGATACACCATAAAAACACGACTTACAAATAGTCACAGTGTCATTGTTGTGTTTTGCTACATGGATAAACCTATACTGATCTACCCCATAAAATAATGGTTGTACCACGTGTCAGATTTTTAATCCGGTCAAGGATACAACACTAACCTTCGGTTGAAACCCCCAAAACCTAATAATAATTAGATCTCCTATGACTGAATCTTCTTGGACCATGCCTGCCAAACCGACGAACACCTTCAATGAAGCCGTCGCCACCGTATCTGCAGACATCACCAACGAAATCACCGCCATACTAGCAAATATCAACAAGGATGATGCCACCATACCTGAAAACACCGATAAAGATCTTGTCGCCATAGCGTAAATAATAATCTACAAAATATGCAAAATGTGCATTTTTTCAAGTCTAAAGAGAATGATGATTGATTACCATACCTCTTTAAGAACAGTGCTTATTCTGTAACACAACATTCCTCCCCATCGGCCTCAAGAGTCACTCCAACCAACAACACCACTAACACCAAGTGTACACCTGTATTATTTTCCTGTATTATTTCTCACTTTAATCAAACAGTAGCGGAAGTTCACTCTATCTTTTGGGTAATTTGATG